GTAGCATAACTTAGCCTTAACGTTATACAGTACGGAGTACATGTAGAATTTGTCAGATGCCTAGACAAACCTTGAGTGGGACTGGCAAATCGACCGGTTCGTTAGCCGGTGCAGTCCCGTCAGGGGGAAAGTTCAGGCTAAATGTTTGCAAGAATAGAATATGTTGAACATATCGAATTTCCCTAATGCCTGACAAGATTTCGCCGAGACTTCAAGCTTTATCCTGCCTTGCCATGTAAAATGCTTAAAAACATGGAGCCTTGGCCTATGTTGGACACTTCCCCCTACTAAAGGAAATTGCCAGTGGATCATGACGAGCGGGGCAAACAGAAGAGGCAGGTGAAGGAGATCTAAAGACGGCTTGCGCTGCAAGACACGGCCGTAAGGTTTTACATGTATATGGTTTGACGCCGTCCCTAGTCGTGCATATATGTACATGTACTTGTACATACTTTAACGTTATCTGGAGATCAGAATCATAGTTAAGATGACATGCAATGGTCAAGTCGGATCCTTCCGGTATACCCCTGAGATCGAGTATCCAAGACATCAATATCTACTCGGTACAGACAATCCCGCTCGGGCGTAAATCCCCTCTCAGCGGCTGTCCGAGTCCCCCACGATCGCTGCTAGCGGCTCTAAAACAGACGGTGTGTGTGGTGCGCGTACTCTTTTAGTCCATTGTCGCCTTGCCGATCGTCACCCGGTTGGTGTAAGCAAACTCCACTGCACAACGCTAGTTAGAATTTTTGAACGTTGGCCTCCTTTCCAGTTCTCAGACATCAAGAAAGGGGTAATAAAGAACTGCTGTCCCCACAACGTGCAGCTTCCACATGGCTGCGCCTTTGTTCCCTGGTACAGTTGTTTTCTTTAGGGCATTGCCCACACATGGAACCCCTGTGCGGGCCTGTTTCAAAAGGAAAACCTGTGTGTGTTCGGTTGGCTCCCGCTTGACTCCATTCTGTGGGGTTTCGGAATAATACAGCGGCATGGTTGGAAAGGTTGTAGTGGATCGAAGCTTATACTGGCCCAATCGCACGGCTACCAGGCTACTGTAACTCCCACTATTGCTAAATAATCCTTTTGTCCCATGATCGACGCTGGGGAGACTTCAGCATGGCGCTTCGAAGGTTTTTCTAGGCTTTTTACTCTGCCGGTAACCGGATACGGAGCATTCGTGCGGGGTGAATGCTTCTCCAACCAGGGGCCCCTTGTTGCCAGCCGCGTTCTTTTGACCATTTGAATAATAATACTCGATCTAGCCCGCTGGAAGTCTTCCTATGGTCTCCATGGAGCTTTCCAGGATAGAGTTAGGTTTGCTTAGACCCAGCCTCGTATAGATGCAACCAAGGTTATACATTGAACACAATGAATGCATTGGTCTTACCTTCCCGCTAGTGTTCCAGAAGCATTCCCCTGCAGCGGAAAAACTGTACGGCGGTCCGAGTTTTAACCCCCCCCCTGTCAATGAACACACGCTAAGACCTTTTGTATGGCGGAGGACACGGAGAACGTGGTGTACAAGGATGGATTTTTGCGCCACTACACTGTGCTCAAAAATGGGGAAATTCATCCTTCTACTGTATGCAACGCGGTTTACAGTCAGCTTATCCCCTTAGTACCTTTGTAGGCTACACAATAGTATGCCTTGGCCGTTCGGGTGGGTAAATACATGTACAGCCATCTAAGCTAAAAAACTTGACGTCCTTTGATTTGGCTGCTCGTGGCAAAGTTGTAACCCCTTACCCACTTCGCCCGATACTCTGGGAGGGGCATAGGTGGCCTAGAGTGGAGTCATTTCAATGATATGACTATGGACCGTGAAGAAGTATTATGGAGATCACTGGCTCTCGGATCGTCCCCATTTCCCACCGGAGATGATCCCAAAAGATAGTCAAACCTGGAACTTATCAACCTGGAGAATCCAGCCGTTTGCAAAAAAGGGCCTGATTGATTTTCCCCCCATTCTTCTGTCCTGGCCTATCAATTTTAAAGTTCGATCAGCTGGCAGTAGTGTGGCTGCTGCTTCTTTTATTCCCTCGGCCCTCGATCCTTTAATATTTCCGTCTGTGGTTTCTGCACCCCGGGTTTCGTCTTTGTCCTTCCTTCTTTGCTGCTGCCACATGTGGGAGCTATAGCGCTTCATCTCGATTGTTCCGATCTGTTCGCATTGGTGCACGCCTTGTATACCCTCCTTTTTGTTCAAACTTGGCCTTATATTCGACAAAGCGCGCCCCCCGACGAATCCATCACTGCATAAAACTTTGTTCTGTTAATTAGGTGACGATAACCGACTTGACGAACAACAAAGCATCCAAAGATGCCTTCGCTCATCCTCGCGGGCCTGATGCCCAGAGGCAACTCCGGGGACTTGGTGGCTCGATTGAACAACTCAGCGGAACTTGATATTGATCCTCTCCCGTTAATTCAACGAGAAGGTCTAATAGCAATCTCGATCATGGCTTTCTTGTCGCTCATTGCAACTGCCACTCTCCTCGCTTTCATTACCTTTCGACTCATTTTCTGGCGTTCAAGCTACAAACGATACATCGGTTACAACCAATACATCATTCTCATCTATAACCTGATCTTGGCCGATTTCCAACAAGCACTCGCTTTCATTCTCAATCTACGATGGATCCTCACGGACAAAATCGAGTCCGGTACGCCTGCTTGTTTCTTACAGGGATTCTGGCTGCAGGTTGGAGACCCTGGCTCCGGTCTTTTCGTGCTCGCCATTGCCTTCCACACTTTCCTTTTGGTCGTATGGGGAAAGAAGATGTCCCACAAAGTCTTTGTCTCATTCGTTGTCGGTATCTGGATCTTCATCGCCTTGATTGTTATCATTCCACTGGGTATGTATGGTGCGGACGTGTTCGTGCCTTCGGGTGCGTGGTGCTGGATTAACGAGGAGTATGAGACGACCCGTCTGTGGACTCACTATATCTGGATTTTCCTGGCTGAGTTCGGCTCCGTCGCCCTCTACGCTGTCATGTTCTTCCAGCTGCGCCGACAGATCAAGGCCTCCTCCATTCTGGGTAACAGCCAGCTGGAGAGTTTCAAGCGTCTGCGTCGTGTGGTCGGATACATGACCATCTACCCCATCGTCTACATCGTTTTGTCTCTTCCTCTCGCAGCTGGTCGTATGGCCACTGCTAATGGAAATCCACCAAACGTCACCTTCTTCTGTTGTGCTGGTGCCATCATCACCAGCTCCGGTCTGGTCGATGTGGTCCTGTACACTCTGACCCGTCGCAACCTGATCATCGACTCCGAGCCGAGCCACGATCGCTCCTACAACAAGTTTGCCAGCAGCAAGGGTCGCAAGGGTGACACTCACCTTACCACCATCACTGCCGAGCCTTCCAAGCGTAAGATGGGCGGCACCATCAACGACGACATCACCCAACGTGACGGCTCAACAGACAACATCGTTCAGCCCGGCAACCATGAAATGGCTCCCATCGGGAAGGTGTACCAAGAAACCACCATCGAGATCACCCACGAGCCAGCCTACCCCGACGAGGGTGAAAGCTCTCGCTCCAGCAAGGACGGCTTTGGTGAAGTGTCAGCTCACGGCTGGCGGCGATGAACATCCTTTCATGACATATGAGGCATTTGAATTCCTGCCACCACTTATATTTCCAGTGGCATCCTACCTCGATACTTTTCTTTCGAAATTCCCCATTATATCTATATTTCTTTCTAGTCACGACTCTGCCACTCCCTATTCATGTCCCCTTTACTCTTTTTCTCCGATATCTCATTCTTCTATGTCTCCGATCTTACTCTCGATATTCTCTTCATGACGGAACTTTGTATATATTCTTGAAAGAACGGACCTCCCTTACTAGAAGGTCGCTGTGATTCCCATGTGCAGTTAGTGCTTTTGAATTTGAAGATCTATGAATACTTCTCAACAGATTCTATGTGATTGAAAAGTAAACCTCGCAGCTAGTTCTTAGTGCAGTCCGAATTTGACCGTGATGTATTAGATGCAAGCTTCGTGACGGATGTGGCGTTTTAATAATACGACAATCACGGCGACGCCGAGATTGCACGACGAGTAAGTTAGCAATGCCTCAATCGGCGTCCCGGAGGATAGTGTCAATATTGTCACCTCTCGAACCAGCATACTCCTACGGTGGTGGATACCAAAACATGCCCAAGAAGAGACCTTTTATCTGATCGTCAACTACATGATCGCCTGGTACTGTAGCCATGCGTCGAACTTTTGAACTGTGAGGGAAGTCTCTGGTCTCTGGTCTAGATAGGTTCTTCAGCTCTGGGTGCTGGCGATCATATCCCCTGAATAGAGCTGAGACCGCGGCAATTGGGTTGCTTATGCATTGCCGGGATTTACGACTAGCGCCAAGCACAATACATGTGGATGAATCTACAAAAGCCGATTCAGTATTGTTCCTCGACGCCTTAAGAATGGAGTTCTTGCCGTGTGTGTGAAGAGGGTCCTGGCTACATACCAAATTGAGTAATGTGGAGATAAATTTGCCTTTTATCGAAACCATTCCTTGGGTCAGGGGATGGGCAATTAATATCGATCTACAAAATCCTCGGTGGAGGTCATGAAAATGGGAACAAATTCGATACCTTCCCTGGTTTGGCAATAGTTCGGGTCGCTCCGGATCTGCAACAGGTCCTTGCGCATAGAACTACCACTTCTTATAGAGTTTAGGCTCAGATTTTTATACTATTCGAATTCCAGCTGAACATATTCGTATTATTTTATGGGGTCCTCACTGGTCTCAATTTTGCAAACGATATCTTTCCTCCTTATCGCTTGGCAGTTCAATGTGGAGCCTGCTCTGTGGAGTTTTCTCCCCGACGCCTCTCGAGACGTGGACAACAATAAGGATATTATTTCAAATTTTCACCAGCTTCTAAATCAAGATTGATCCTAATCGAAAAACCGGCGCTCAGGTTCGGCGTACTTCCGTGAAGCAACGGTATCCCGAACCGGCGTGGTGTCGCCACATAAATGGTTACGTCTGACGGTTGGTCTCGATGTCCTCGAGGTCCTATTGGCAATCTTCCTTAGCTAGACTTGAGTTATCGGACGGCTCGGCTCAATGTTCCTCAAAATTCAGACAGTGAAAACTCTTAGTATAGGTTCGATTGAAATGTCTAGATGCGTACGTGGTGGGTGAGCCAAGTAAAAGCCAATGGAAATCAAGTTTCCGTTCTCTTGATGCCTCGTCGCAAAAAAGACATTCTTCCTCTGTGGTTACGGCTCCAACCTAGAGTCCTACGTAAAGGGGTATCTCGGTATGGGCTGATCACGATCCACGAATGGATCTCGATTGTATTGATCTAATTATAGGATGACTACCGTGTGTTTACATTAGTGAGTATACAAACAAAAATGAGTTGCACTCACGCTCAATTGTCTCAGCTCCATTTATATTGCTTCGCGCTTATTTTTTTCTGAATTCCTACATAAGAGGTATCTTTATCGGATACTACGGCGGTCTTTTTAAGACGCTTATGTGACTACTATAGCTCTCTGTCATCGCTGTAAAACCTGCCTTCAAATAGGTTTGCATCTTCGAGGATTTGTATAAAATCAGAAGGTCTGTATATATATCTTTCTAAACTTAAATTTTGCAAACCATGGTGTCACTACCACGGGTTAAGTGTGGTTGATGCCTAGATGCAGCCGAGTTCTCCGGCTTCTAGGTAGTGCACTGAAAAACCCACAAGCGTACCACGACGATCAGCCTAGGCGATACAAATAGTTAATAACGATTCATTCATTTACTTACTATATTGCAGATACTGTTTTGGAGAGTAATTCGAAAAATTTTAGAAAAACAAAATTGGCGGGGAAAAAAAAGAAACGACACCTGTGTGATTCGAACACACGCGGGCGAACCCACACGCTTAGCAGGCGTGCGCCTTAACCACTCGGCCAAAGTGTCGTATGCTTGAGAATACGACCACTAATGGTATACTTAATCGACTAACTCTTCATATATCGTGAAAGCACCACTAACATCATCCATCCCTTAAGGAGCTCTGCTGTGCATTGGGACAGAAGAGGAGTCTATGCCACTCTCTAGTAATAGTCTGGATTGATTCTCATTGTGCGACAGTCAACAAAGAGAAAATCTCACATCATTATTCCCATGCCTAAAAAGCAACTTTCAGAGACTCTTCCTGAAATATATACGTTCGAACCCATCCTCCATTTTTCTTTCCGTTTCGATAAATCCCAATTTCCCATAGAACCGAACGTTTTCAATCATATGTACATTCGTAAAGAGAGTGATACTTGATAGTCCGCGCTCTCGTCCCTCAGTCTCCGCGTGTTTCATCATCCAATATCCGTAACCTCGACCCTGTGAGCCCACGTCCACAACCAAGTTATTGATCTTGAGCGAGTTTGTTTGGTCATCCACATGGAAGTCAATAGAGCCAACAGTTTGATCGTTGTCTTTGAGCATCATGACCTCATGTGTTCTCATCTCTTGCTCCCAGTCTTCGGTCATGGGAGCTGGGGGCTTTCCGATACGCTCGATGTATTTCGAGTAGGCGGAGTTGACCATTGATTTGATCCCTGGTATGTCCTCTATGGTGGCTTTGTATAGATAGGGAGAATTGCTTGATAGCGAAACGGAGTTTTGGGCCATTGTAGACGATAGGCTTTATTCGGGCGCTTTTGAAAGCGAGAGAGCAAGAAAGACCGAGGGCTGACAGGACTTGGAAGAATTCGCCAACAAAAGAAACTAAAAATTACAGAGAAGTTGTAGAGAGCCCTGGAAGTTGAAGAAGTTTGTGGTTGAGTCACAGTTACCCCGCCCTTAGGATATGAGTTTCTTCATAGATATAAACTTGCTTGATGTCAACCTCGCTATCAGAAGAGCTCAAACCATTCATTTTGTAATACTAAAGCGAGCCATGATCTCAAATTGGACAAATCCGCTTCGGAATCCGCTGATGTCGCAATCAGAATTTCCCAAGAATCAAGCAGGAGGGAGAGCCGTCTCTCCCGACTTCCAAGTTCCGTGAGTCCACGCAAACTCAGAGATGGCAGAGATCTCATGACCAGCCTGCAAGTAGACACGAATCTCCGGGCGGGAGCCACTAACCCAACTGATACATGCTATCTCTGTACCAGGAATGCAGTCGGCATGAAACTGTCCCTCGCGCCACGACTTGCCATCGTAGACCATCTCGAGGGCCATATTGGCAGAAGTATAGAAGACGTGGATTCCCATGATATCCGAGCCAGAACCATAGCTGGTGCAAGCAATGGATGTTCGGGGTTGCATCTTGGGGAACTTCATCCATCCGTCATACCAGCCGCGGTGGCCGTCATGGCACTTCTCCATGAGACCATACTCCATGTGCTGGAAGTAGACGCTAAAAAACGTTTAGCTTTTGGTATAGTAGGCCAAGTATCATTGAAACGTACCGAATGCCTACGTGCGGAGACTTAAACGCGGTGCAGGCGATTTCGGTGCCGGGCATGGCAGGTCCGAGATTTGACATCTTCTGCCAACCCGAGCTCTCATCTGTATTAAAAATTGTCAGAGATGTACCGGGGGTATTGGATCAATATCTTACCCTTAATACCGAATTCCTGAATTGTGTTATCCGTCAGCTGGCAATAAACCCGCATCTCCATGTCCGAACCCTTCATCAAGTGGCAGACTGCAAGCCTTGAATAAGGGGCGGTAAAGTAGTGTTTCTTGCCAATGGTGCCTTCAAACCAGCCCTCGGACTTATCGTAAGCAATTTCTTTGACGGTGTTCTCACTAGAAAGATAGAACACTCGGATCTAGAAAAACACTGTTAGCAAACTTCCGAAAGCCATGCGTTGATGACAAGCTTGCCGTTTCAAGTTCCTTTGAAGTGCAGGCTAGGGGAGAGAAGAGCTTGGCAGAGGCAATGACATTTTTCTCAGTGCCATTGCTCCAACCATTTTCGTATACAGTTTCGCGGATTTTGCCCTGGACATCTTGCATGTAAACGCGGAGGTGGTCGCCTGAGTTGCAGGCCGCAATGGAGGTCCCTGTGTAATAATGATGTTAGCTTCAGTCAATAGTCAAGGTGGATGTGGGTGATTGTTTTGCATACTGAAGACAATCTCGTGAGCGTTCGAAGGCATGCTGGGCTGAAAGGAAGTTGAACTTTGTTTAGTTGCAAGAAAATCACTCATGGTATTTTGAAAGTTGGAGGGCTTGCTGGACTGGCTTTATATTCTCAAGCTACTACCTTGAGCAACGAAGTAACAATGTTGGCAGTCAGGCAAACACATTGCCTGAGCACAAACCCTGGATCATCGGAGGAGCTGTGATTGTATGAAACAATGAAATTATACTATTAATCAGCCTATGATTGGTTTACGAAACACAACTACATATAAGAGCCTCTTGCTTTGTCAAGCGAAATGACACAACAAAGGTGCCATCAGGCAAACAAAGAATTCCTAATGATTCCGGTGGTTGGGTTCTCAACAGCGTATACAGGTACCAAACAGCGTAGTCTATTAAATTCTTGACACGGGGTACAGACACAATCTAGCTACTTAGGTCTCTATAATTACGGATATAGGAGATTTGTTAAAACGCACATTAATTCCTTGTTTATCACGAGTCTCATATACCCAAAATATCGCAACTATATTATCTCTAGGTGTACTGAACATGCATGGTGGCATGAAGAAAATATTATGAGTAAAGAGTACTATCTCAAAGAGATCAAGCTTAAGTTGAGACAACACACATGATTCGTGGCATGACGCTCGACCAAGTCTACTTTACAAAGGATTCGCAAACCGCACAAATGGGGCGCCTGCTGTACTACAATCAATTCAACGCTCAAGTCAAATTCATTCCTGCTATGGCTCAAGATCTAGGATTCACAGTAAGAGGCTTCTAGTGGCACATTGGATTGTCGAAAACCAGTAAACTGGCGATGATCAGACGAGGACTCACACACTACGGCCTACTGCCCGGGGCTTTTATGCCCAGTCACTCCCAATCCGGAATCCCAGGACATTAAGTCCCCGGTTTGCCCTCTCCGATGCCACATTATTCTTTCAGGCGTGAGCTTCCTCAACGTCCATGCAGATTGCTCAGGAATAAACACGTTTCTCCCGGGGGTGGGACATGGGTCTTGCGCTCGTTTGCTAATGCGCCAGCTTGCATGTGATTCTCTTAGCTAAATTAATATTAGTACAAAGCACCCCTCTGATCCTCCCAGTGAGACAACCTTAGATTTTCCCTCAAAGTAGGGAAAAAGGGATGCCGAGTTCCTTGGCCGACTTGGCTACCTATTCTCTTCCAAGCGGTGACTGTCTCTATATGCTCTCATCATGCATTGAGATGCGACAAGAATATGCCGAGTGATGTGATTGAGAATGACCGAAAAGTTAATTTAGCTTTCGCGATATGCTGTTTCATTGACTTGAGCGAACAGTGCTGTCGGATGTATGTATTCATAAACTTTATCATTCCCCAGCCAACTGCTGTCTCGAACGAGTGGGACCGGTTATGCATAGGATTGAATTCTCCCTTTGACAGACCAGTAACTTGCATGCACATGGAGATGAACCGAGACACTTGGCTTCCACGGGGACTACGAGGAATCTGCTGCTTGCTGACGTCAGTAAAGCAATAGTCCGATTCCAACGTTGCGCATCTTAGACAATGTGTGTCTCATATACCTAGCCAGTGCCTTGGGGCAATGTGTAGGCGAAATGCACCCGAGCGCATGGAGGGCAGAGTGGTGAAATTGCAGATGTCAAGTGCATTCCATACAGGTTCGACTAATATCGGTCAGGTCGACTGATGAGACCTCAATTATTTCCGAGACGATCAGTGGCAACTGGCCAATGACATTAGACAGCCTATATCGCTTAAATCCTGATCCATCAAGCTTCTCCAGTGGACTTACTCGGAACATAGGGCCACCAGACCGCTGCAATGAACGGACAGCGGACTCCAGATGGCCCCGAAATCATGCTCAATAGATACGGAGTTTCCATGTTCGACTCCTTAGGGATGCATACAAATAGCGGGGCCATAAGCTTGCAAGGGGTGGAGGCGCTAACGATTGCGCCTATACACCACGCAGAGTGAGCACAGCAGCGCAGGCCCCTTGAATGCATCTCGTTTTGCAAATTGACCGGGGTCCGGGTTGTCCTGCAAGGCTGGTTCCTTGGAAGACCGACTGCCCTACCATTAGCCAAAGTTTCAGTTTCACAGCGTAAAGAAGATCATTGCAGATCAGGGGTGAGCGATCCGCCATAGTGGGCCATGCAGCCGGTCGCCAATCAAGGCACCCTAAGACGCAGGAATGCATAATTGTTTTGGGTATGCAATGATGCGTCTAGGAACCTGACTTGAAAATTGGAGGTGTCTTATTTAAAGCCAACATGTGCTGCTGGCCGGGAATCCTCGACAGGGTCGAGTTTTCTGCGTTGAAAGCTTGAAACAATGCTGTTCTCTCGCAATGCTCTTGCAGCTCCCGCACTGGTGTCGCTGCTTCTGACAGGATCTGCCGCTGCTGATGACGCACAATCAAGAGCCCAGGATGCTTTGAAGACCCTCCAGACCTGGTATAACCCCCAAAGTGGCATTTGGGATACCTGTGGTTGGTGGGATGGCGCTAGTTGTATGACTACCGTCGCAGATTTGGCTGCTTTGGATCCCTCTGTTATGGATACAGCGACTTATGTCTTCAACAACACATTCCACGTGGGTCCAGTGTCGAACCCGCACCCCGGTCCCGAGAAGAAGACCGTCTTTACTCGCGACAACCAGGGCGCTAACTCTGTCAATGCCTCGCAATGGCTCGACCAAGCATACGATGATGATGGATGGTGGGCCCTGGCATGGATTGCTGCATATGATGCTACTAGGGAGCAGACATACCTGGAGCTAGCTGAGGGGATCTTCGAGAGCTTGGTATGGTCTCATCTTATCTTTTGATTTGGCCTCACACTGATATTTTATAGGCCGCAGCTTGGGGTACCAACTGTGGTGGTGGTGGTATTCCATGGAACCCTACGAGCACTTACGTCAACTCGATTACGAATGAAGTATTCCTCTCCGTTGCAGCACATCTGGCCAACCGAGTCCCAGACCGCAAAGAATATTATGTCCGCTGGGCACAAAAGGAATGGGACTGGTTCACATCCCAGGGTTTCATCGGCGAGAATGGTACCATCAACGATGGACTATTGGAGAACTGCCAGAATAACGGAGCGACTGTGTATGTGGCACAATCCCATCTGTGCTTGCATTCTGACTAACCTTTCTCCAGCTGGTCCTACAACCAGGGTGTTGTCCTCGGTGGTCTGGTTGAGTTGAACAGAGCAGCACCCAACGACACTCTGTTGCCCTCTGCCAACAAAATTGCCGAAGCGGCCATTAAGACACTGGCCGACTCTAACATGGTCATTCACGAATTCTGTGAGCCGCAGTGTCTCCCAGATGGAACACAGTTCAAGGGGATTTTCATTCGTAACTTGCAAATGCTGCAAAGAGCATCCCCGGATGAGACCTACAGGAAAGTGATCATCAACAGTGCGAACAGCATCTGGAAGAACGACCGCGACGAGAAAGGTGGACTGGGCGTCAACTGGGCTGGTCCTATTCAAGCCACAGTGGATGCGTCAACGCATAGCTCAGCACTTGACGCGTTGGTCGCTGCACTCGCCCTTAGTATTCTTTAGTGGCGGTTGCCGTTTCGTTTCGGATTTTTTCCCCATCCTTTTTTCGGTCTAAAAGTCCCGGGGTTTCAATGGATGCGATGCATATAGATTCTTAGATCCGCATATATACTAATCTTGATTTCTGATCTTCAAATTGAATATCTATCCTAGTAGGCACCTGATCGCCGTACCCAAGTTGGTTGTGGTGCGGGCTGAGGTCTGCTGTAGCCAGATTTTATGGCTGATGTGGGCACCAACTCCAATCCTCCAAGAGCTGCCCCTAGCTTATCCTGTGCCCAAACGGTCAAAGCTATGAAATTCTCACCCTCATGGTTGAGTATTCCTTCAGGGACAGGGAATATATTCTGAGGACCGAGTTTGTTTACTGAGAAATTAACGTTAAGGTTAGTGGGTTGGGTATTCGGAACCATGGAACCATGACTAGTTGCAGACTCACTATACTTTCCAAACTGGTACCCATTGATAAACAGCTGACATCTGTAGTTGTCTCTTCCATTTCCAGAATTAATCTGCGAAGAGTTGCCGAACACGACACTCATTGGAACATCCCACCCACTCGGGATTCTGAGTTGGAAAGATGCTGTATAGAAGCCAACACCTGCATGCGACAAGCCGTCTTTCACTGGATTTGACTTCTTCCACTTTGAATCCGGTGGACTAGGATAGTGGTAGCCTTGTCTCTCGGCATACATGCTGCCTTCATTTAGAGGACCTCGGACTAGATCCTGGTACTGCTCTCCGCCAAGATTACCTGTCAGCTTCCACGAGACATCCGATTGGTCATGGCCCGAGATTCCATAGTTCAGAATACCTCTCGGAAACTTGATTGCATCTGTACCAGGAGCCTCCTCATCCTGGCCCATGTGATCAATCAAAACGGATAGCACATACGCGCTGCCTTGTGTCAAGGCTGATGGCAGTGACACGTTATGGACAATTGTGGAGTTGGCGCTCGACCCAACCCACGAGCCGAGGAATGTGTTATTCAACCAAAAAGAATGTCCGAAGCCTATGCCGCCAGATACATTCAGCCAGACATTGGATTCTTGGCCATTGGCATTGAAATGACCGCGATAAAACAGGGACCCAGTGTGATATCCATAGTCCATAGAGTATAGACTAGTCGGGGTGTCCAACGGCCGCGGATTGTGAGTCGACTTCAATGTACACCGTGTCCAAGCTGAGTCGTCGTACGACGTCATAATCTCAGGGAGAGAATCAAGGAACTTCCAGTCCAGGTTGGACAGATCGGGGATGTCAAACTTAGGAGGGTCGTATCTAACTGTCCCGAAGATCTTCCTATTGGTCGATTTAGAAGTTTTCAATGCTTCTCCATTGAACGTGATGTCTTGAAGGTGCTTAACTGGGCTAGAGATAATTTCGATTTCTGTAGTCGCATTCACATCGCCGGTCAAATGAAGACGCGTTTCTATCAGATTCGCCGTACGGATAAGATATCCAGCCTTGAGGATCACCACGTTTTTGGATGGCGATGAATAATTTCCAATCGCGCCTGAAGCAGGCAGTTCCATTACCCAGTAGTTGTATGCCTCATTCCGCCAGAGCAGGTATATTTCCAGGTCTGCTGCTCGGACGATGCGTCGGTCCGGTGTAACATGCCAATGTATGACCCAGGTAGCCCCGCGTCGCTGAACAGTGATGTCTGTCCCTTCGGAGACAGTCGGCTTTCCAAGATGGCTAGGCAGAGCGAACTCATGTGATTCTCCGACACCCCCGTAGAGGATCAGTACACGTGCCGACTCGGCCCCTCGCGCCCATGTAAATATTTCTGCGGAGGAGTAGATCAGGTTGATGCCGCCGACATCGTAATCTGTGACGTGGAATTTGGAATCGCGACCGTTGAGCGTCAGGTGGCCTCCTAGCTGAGGAACAGTGATATTGCCAACGCTCGTTGCGAGAGTTAGAGTGTACTGGGTTTTGTCGATGGAGGTGAAGTCAGCGTGTCTAATAACGTAGAAGTTTGTCTGTGTTCCATTGCCAATGAGAGGAGTCACAGCGATCGTAGCCGGTGCGCCGTAAGACCCATTAACTCCGAGATGAGAAGTTGCCGTCAGATAAGCAGGTGATACTTTGAGAAAGTTGGCTTCAAGCTTCTGTTCACTGTACTTCTCGCGCCAAATTGTCCGGTCTTCAGCGATGGCGGCTCCATAGTCGTATGATGTATCTCCGCCCATGTATCCCAGGTTACCCCAGTTGGTGCCACCGAAGGTCTGTATTGAAGTTAAAATCGCAAACAGTAGACCAGGGCCTGCGTGAACACACCATATAAATATTGAAGATCTTCACACCGAAGCTGTAGTTGTTCTTGTAAACTACCCGAACTGCTTCCTCGTTCACTAACTGGCCACACATATCTTGGTCCACACCTCCCCTAGAATCGGATTAGTTTTTTTTATACTTCATATTCCGAAGAGTATACTTTAACCATACCATCCCTCCCCAGAGCCCCCTTGGAATTCAGCGATAGCGAAAGGCGTTGTTGGACTCTCTTGGTCGTGTAAAACTTGCCAGTTGTATGGGAACCTATAGGTCGGCCAGACCGTAGGATGCGCACCTGTATCAAATATCAGTATCCACCCATAAAAGCTCGTGCTACTAAATATATACTCACAATCATAACGCATTGGGTAAGAGTCAATGCCATAGATATCCACCTCTCCCACGCCCGATCCTGGCGCGAAGTACCCCAGATTCAGGTTATCATTGACAATCAAAGGGACAGAAATCCCTATATCAAGAAGTTGCTTCTCAACATAGGCCATGTAATTGCTATTCATCTCGCTCGGGAAATCAGTCACATCTGGCCAAGTAGAGTACTCATTCTCCGGCTGAACCATGATAACCGGACCACCATGGGTTATCTGAGCGCGTTCAATGATTTGACCCAGAGTTGAAACATATTGTTCTGTCGCATTGAGGTACTCTGGGTCATCAGATCGAATAATAGCTTGCTTGCGTAGGACCCATCCAGGTATCCCACCACCAGTGGTTTCTGCGTTGATATAAGGTCCCGGTCGAGCGATGAGATATATGCCAGCTTGTGCTGCAGCGTTGAAGAACTCATCCAAATTCCATATCCCGTCTGTGATAACGTGTCCTGGGTTCCCTTCGAGTAGGCTCCAGTCCGTGTAGAATGAGACACCTGTGAAGCCCATGCTTTTTATTTTCTGGAACACATCGAGCCATAGGCCAGGTACTGGGAGGCGGAATGGATGGAATTCTCCGGAGAAAATCATGAGTCGCTCTCCTCGAACAATGATTGAGTGTTGGTCCCATGTTACCTATTATGCGCGACTTAGATTGTGGGAAGGTTGTTGGGTGGCAGTAGTCAACTCACTAGATCTTGTAGTCCATTACTTTCAGTAGGAATTTTACTGCTAATGGAGCCAGGAACCAGAGACGCAGCTACTGACCACAGGGTGAGCAATGTTACTTTGCTGAGTAACATTTTCAATTGCACTTTATTCAATTAAGAATGTACATCAGCATTAAACAATCTCAACACTGGGAAAACGCTAATTCAAGACCTCTGAAAAGAACTCATTCTTTTCTCTTTTCTATTGATCGAAACCCTCATCACCCCGCATCGCCTGATCAACACAGCGGGACTAAGCTGCGATCTCATTGAAGGAATATTTAGCTGTTTAACCGGCACCCCGGCAAAATGCAGCCACGCAAATTTTCTCAGAACAACGTACGAGGGGATTTTAAACTTATACCTATTGTTTATGTACTATATATGCCAAGCATCAGCCAGGCTAAATAAGCTTACTTGATTACCCCAGGTTTCTCCGACAAAGTTACATCATTGTTGCTTCATTTGCCACCCAACCCGAGAGCCACTCAAGGCGTTCTGCTTGATCTTTTACAAGATAGAACTAGCAACTACGAAACTCAGATCTCGAAATGGCTGCTCACGTAAAGCCCCTTATCTTGCACGCTCACAGCTCAAGCCCAAATCCGATCAAGGTAGCGATCACCCTCGAAGCACTCCACATCCCGTATGAAGTGAAGAAATGGGATTTCGGAGATGACCCCGAGAAGGGTGTGAAGGGTACGAAATTTCTCAAAATCAACGAGAATGGACGCGTTCCTGCTATCGAGGATCCAAACACCGGTGTTGTCGCGTGGGAATCTGGTGCTTGCATGAACTATATCCGGCGTGTGTATGACAAGGGTAATATGATTGGACCTTCCGGGGAGTTGGCTCAAGACCTGGTGGACTTTGAAAAGTGGGAGTATTTCTTGTTGACGACACTGGGTCCGATGACTGGCCAGGCGATTTGGTTTAGGTCAGTTAGTTGGAATGCTTGGTTGTCAGTCCTATGTATTAACAATTCATAGGAAATACAACGCCGAAAAGAACGAGAATGCTCTGGAGAGATACACGGCTCAGACCTATCGTTGTTATGATGTCCTCGAAGGTCAGTTGAAGAAAACTGGTGCAGAAAGCATTCTCAATGGACGTGTCTCTGCCGTCGATTATCATTTCGAGCCTTGGCTGCATAATTACCCCCTTGCCGGTCTTTCTCTTGACAAGTATCCTTTGATCAAGAAGTGGCTTGGTCTCATGGAGACTCGTGAAGAGGTAAGGGAAGCCTACTTCAGGATCACAGGTGAGAAATCGGTTTAGAGGCTACAGTACACAGGGGAAAGAAAGGAAGATTGAAAAAAAGCCTCGGATGGCCACTTTGTGTTGCCCAAGAAGTAGTATACGCACAAATATAACAAGATTAGCATCTTGGCCAAAGAACCTGTAAAGATTTCGATACTTTATATTCACAAGCTTAAAGAGCATACGTGTTGGCTCAGCAATGCATGAAAAGATCCCAATGTGGGCCATCTTTCTTCATCCCCGGAACGAATCCCGGTTTGTAAACTTCAGTGGCAATCCAATGATATTTCACACAGTAATGGAAGTGTTGACAATTTGCTAAAGTTGCCAGCTAGCCGGTCAACAGGACCCTCGGGACATCAAGAGCATACAGCATGAAAGATTTCCCATCTCACGACCCTGCTCGGCATCTTCCCCCCACGAATATTAATCTGCAATGCCTGATGCACAAGTCTAGGCCTACCAAGACCCTTATCCCGCTTATTTCTCCGCTGGAGGGACGCCTCCTCAAGACGAGTCATCTTCAAGGTACTTATTTTTCTCTTGCTGTCCAGCCACAGTGCTATACGGCGAAGGATTACGGGACGGATGCTGGTTTGTAGGCGCAGGCGGGTAATCATGTACCGTATATAATTTCGTCTCTGGCGGGAACGATAGGAGGCGTTGCATGGATTGAAACTGGGACTGTGCATCGCCACCGGGAAAGTCGCAACGCCCGCGGCCAACGTCCGCGTTGAACATGCAGTCTCCCGTGAACACATTATCTCCAAGTTGTCTTGATTTCTGGACAGGCTACTATATATTGCCATGAACGTGTAGTAGGCTCAAAGACTGGGTGAATGGTAGGTTGCATTCCATCGGTAAATTTGGCGAATTTGTGATTGTGCAAGTATGTCAATGGAGAGAGTTGTTATTACAGCTTATAGTGGCTTTTGGCAGACATTACGTATGTATAGATCATCGGTGCTCAACCCTAACTTAGGTTTATAACAGCACCACACAGGGAAACGCGCAATACCTCTAGAAATATGCCTCAAATAAAATTGGATCTATCATCGTATCCATGGGGTGTCAAGGCTTTTAGATCCGAAGGAAGATTGTGACCTGTGTTGAGTCATTAGAGATTGTTCAACTGGACATGCGCAATGCGCAAAAGACATATCCTACGGTTACTAGTTTTCATTGCGTACTACTCGTCAGTATAGGAATTCAAGTCAAGCCGTTCTAATTAATTGAGTAAATGGACAGTAAATGATTGAAAGGACTGTGTTAGGACGCTTTTCTGTTGTTTACGGTTGAGATTACCACCACCTACACGGTGGAGGTAATGAAAATAGACCAGGCAACGAATAATGTTGGCCAAGAAGACCCTAGATAGCCTTCAAACCTGAAAGATTGATGTTTCTGACCCGTTTCTATCCCTTTGCAATAACCTTTTTAGATGCGTCCTTGGTTTAGCGCCAAACATCCACTCGTTGTCGTAAATCCGACATTTCTCACACATACGGAGACATCCCGGTTAAGAGGGACTAGTTGTCAGTAGGCGAGGATAAGAAAAAGGTTCGTTCGTTTGTGGGAGACTTGATCGCGACTCTAAGCGGCGAAGAAAGATCTTGGTGAAGGCGCTCGGGGAGAGTCATCGCTGATGGACCATTGGTCGATTTCACTCTGATCGGATGGCACATCCCATCGAGCGACCTTAAGATCAAGAGTGTGTGCAGCCTGGTTGAAGCGGCATTGCCAGCTCTTGACGGCCTTGCACCCGGGCTTCTGGCATAGATGACCCATGTAGCATTTGATGGATCGGCACGCGCCAGCTCGAGAGCAGGGGTGCTGGAGGAGCATGAATCGCAGAACCTCAATGATCGTGTCAGACACATCGCTGTGGTCATACGGGCAGCTCATATCACCACATTCTCCCGACAGGTGATAGCTGTTGCAGACCTTGGCTTCTTTTGCTCGAGAGTGGTATTCATCGAAGGCCGCTCCTGACGGGGAAGGGATGTATGGGTCGATTCGGTGCCCATCCTTAGTGACGGGGATAAATTCCTCGGTTTTGATGCTTGGCAGGGGTAGTACGGTTCTAAAGAATTCCTCGGTGCGGCCAACTGTAGGGGAGGACCACATGTGTTTTGGTGAACCGTGTTCGGGTGAATCACCAGAGTATTTAGACGAGGGTGGGTTGGGCGTGTGATTCAACGACTGGTTTGGCATGACGTGTTGCTTGTTGCAGCTATTGCCGAACTTGCAGATACCCTGATTCCGTGTTAGCGGCCTGTCTAGTTGAAATAACCTCTCCAGCACAGATACACACCTTTTGAAAGTGCTTGCAGACTGTTTTAATTCCAATTGTGCCGTGCGTACCATTTGAGCCATTCGTACTATTGGAAGTGTGGGTTCCGCTGATGGCCTTACTAGCGGCCGGGCCGGTTGGCGGCTTGCTGTTAAGTAGGGGAGTGTTCATGAATACGGTAGGAAGTTCCTTGATAGGCAGGTCCAGGGCTTCGAATTCCCGATGGAAACCGGCGGCTTTGATGAGAGTGATACGGTCACTTCTGCCTCTATAGGGAGTCAGCAGCGAACCGTATCCAGTGTCGTGGCAGCCAGCAAAATAGATGTGGCGGCATTGATTCAGCTCCGCAAATAGACGGAACATTTCTTAATTTTGGGGCACGAATTAGTGCATGAACAACAATGTTACAGGGTGCAAACTGCTCAATACCTCTGATTTTGTAATCGCTGCCCTCCTTCTTCTCTGCAGCATCGACAAAATCGAACAACGCCTGTGCGCGTGTAAAGGACGAAGTAAAGGGGGACAAGGACCGAGCCTCGTGGCCCACAAGACCAGCTCGGGCTAGAGCTTTCGATAATCCGAGGACGTTTGCATAGACACGAACCATGATTTGACATTGCTCGGCTTGCACACCCATTGTCGAATGCATAAGCTCCCTAACGGAATCGCTAAGCTCACGGGCTGCGTCGATGCCTCCTTCGCTGCTATTTTTCAAGAAGTGCTCCTTGAACTAGAAGGTAATTTGTTAGTCGATACCTAACGCCGACTCGCAATGGGCAGACTCACGAGATATCCATCACCGTCTACAAGGACAAGCACAAAAGGGTTGCGCTCCTAGTGGACCGTTAGTCTTCGACTCTTGCTTTCTGGGTGTTTATCAATTCGTACCTGGCCTCGGGCTTGTCTTTTGTATTTGTCTCGGCCTTCTTTCACCTCCTCGTAGTCGCTTTTCAGTGAGCTGTAGTCATCTAGCAAGCTCTTGAACTGTCCCAACAGGCCCTGGAGATTGTCATGTTGCTTCTGCTGCTCTGTTGATAACGATGATAGATGGTGGTTCAACAAATCTATATCCGAATCCCTCAGCATCTTGTCAGAGGTCCCGGGACGGCATGTGCCTCTCCCACAAGCCAAGTAGATTGGTTCCAAACTACCACCATTCAATCGAAAAATGAATGAAGAAGAAGATGGAGCGCTTTAATGAAATGAGATGGGGTGCCTGGATATGGTGGGGAAAGTATTTATTTGTCAAGCCGAGTTGGGCGGTCAGGCTATCCTATCAGGTGACGTGCCACCTCCTGTTTGATGTTTATTTCTCTTCTTCGCTTCTCCACTGTTTCATGGCTACCTGCATTGCATATGCTAACTACGATATCCTAGCTACAGTCTCAGAGAGGTGGGATCATCCCTAGTTCCACATACTCCTCCACAAATTGGGCAAGATTGATTCGGTTTTGTCAACGAACCCGAAATACCCCATTTTCTTGGCCTTGGACATGCTATTTTACCACTGTGCCTAGCTCTATGATCCTACAGGAATCAATTACGAGATACCAATTACTCGCTTCAAAGACCAATTACTCACCTCAAGAATTCGAATACGTCAACGCCAAGAGAAGGTCGGCGAAACCAAAGGCGCAGTCAAATTTCCGCAACTTCTTCTCCGGCAATCCATGCTTCTCAGCAATCTTCGCCCAAGCCTTCTGAACCTCTGGTGTCTTTGCCCAATTTGCCAAAGTGCATCGGAACCGAACCACACCGGGAAAACCATAACCGCGGGGTGGATCAGTGGGAAATGTGATTGTCGCATAGGGGCTTCATCACTTGTATCGGGACCGGTCCACGGCATCTGAAAGTGCTCAGCCAACTTTGGACAGAGCTTGCTCCATGTGAGGAGGCAATCATTCGTTGAATCGAAGGTCACGCTTTTGGTCTGTTCAGTAAGGACGGCCCACTCCGCGAGATACCCATTCGCTTGTGCGCTTGAGATCGATACATTTGTTTCCCACGCCTCGAGGCCACTGGGTATCCTCGAGTCTCGTTGAGGTATTTTTGGACTGTGGCGTAAACTGTCAGAGGATAGCACAAGTTTAATTGCGGCGTCTGGGACAGCACCGGCGATGTGGGATGTTCGGGTGGTGTTCCAGCCGATCGGGTGCTTCTGGCGAAGGCTTTCAGGTAGTCTTCCTGGTTGTAGTAAACGCTTGGCCCGATCAGGACGCGGCGATCTGACTTCTCTTGTTGACAGCTTGCGGGACCATGTGTAGACCGTAATACTTGGCTCCGTGCAACAACTGTCGCTTGGGAATTGTGTTGTTCAAATCTAGCCCCTCGAGGAAGTTCATAAGCAGCTTCTCTATATAATATGTTGCTAGTCTATTCAATATGGCTCTATCCTAAGGTTGATCACTTGCGATTCAGTGTCACCATTTCCTCCGCACTCCAGAGCCCTTCTCCCTCTGTGGGAGTCGACTGGATATACGCAAAACAGAAGACATAGTCCGCGCGAAAACCCCTCGCAGTCAATTCTGCCGCAATAGTCTTAGGCGATTGCAGGAGACCAATCGGCACATGCTCGACATGATCAGGCCATGAACCATTAGCTATTCAAGAACCCTTCTTGGCTAGAATATTTAATTTTCTTATAATTCAAAGAGTGTCTAGCATATATCGTATCCTAAGAGTTTGACTCACACAAGGAATACAGATTCTATACCTAATTTCTTATCAAAGGAAGACCTTGGAATTCGGAGATAGTTATGCGTAAGGGTGAATAAGGATAGATGGTCGTCGAACATGAGAAATTACACACCTTTGCTATTCTACGGAAGGTTACACGACCTGCAGTTTCCAAACAAAATTGGTGTAACTGACAAATTCGGGTTCAAATAGCGTGGAAGAAGTGCAGATCGATATTCATAAATTTGTAGCGTGTAACTATTCAAGAAGCCCTCTCAGCTAGAGTTTTTGGTCTTCCTGTATTTAAAAGAAGCGTTCAGCAGGTGCCATGTCCGAGGGTCTAAGAATCCCATGAGAAACATCCATATTCCTTCTTGAAATCTTCATCGAATCCATGCTCGTCGTCATAATACTCCGTGGGACTAGCCGATTCATAAGGCCCAACGTGGAATCCTAGGTTCTTGACATGTAACTTGAGTCAGCTAACTTGCGGGGACTGTTATTCAAGGGAAAGTACATACCTCGATAGTTATATGACTTTGACCATGGCTTTTGGCCACGGCATCCCACACCTCTCGGACCTCAGGTGCGACGTGAAACTCCGAGGTGCAAACCCAAGTCGCTCTAGCCGAGCTTGAGGTGTATTGAAACCAGTGATCGGAGATTGCATTGATTACCTCTTCGAGCCCATCCCCCGAACATCGTATGTCAGCCCAGAGTATCATAGTTCGTAACCTAGGCATCTGCTGAGCAGCACGTCCGGCAGCAAGATAAAGCTCGTTGAGCTCCCTATTAGGCATCGTGCGAAATTGATTGATATTCTTTTCACCTGGAGGATCCCCTTCGTTCCAGGTGGGCGTATGGTAGCGACCAGGTGACACATCCCTCCATCTTGGATCCCTCTCAAAGAGCCATGTGCCGGAAGGGGTGGCAGATGCATATCGCACATTGATTTTGGTAAGGTTTGGCCAGTATGGAATATTTTTGCTGGCACTTGCTGGCCAAAAGAGCTCAGGACCGATCATGATTGGTGTCAAGTCGACAATCTCGAGCTGTTGCGTTAGGCGATGAAGAGCAAGGCACAATGGATCCGTGCCTGGATTCGTTCTTTTCCTCAAGGGAAAGCTTTCGTCCCATGCAGGGTCTCCTTGATAACTCAACCACAAATTTCTGAGAGAGGGAGGCCAGTTGGCGATGCCTTGTGAAAACTCTGCTCAAACCCTGTTAGGGCTGTTCAATTACAGAAAAAGATTGACATACCATTGCGAAGATGATCTCGCATCGTGGGGTTCCTTCGCTTGTTGTCGCTAAGATTGGCGGACAATACCCGCAGTCGTGGGAGCCGACATACGATCTCGGATACACTTCGTGGCGACAATTCCCGGTAGGGAAAAGAACCATGTACTTGGAGTTCAACGACGCATTTGGCGGTCGACAGATGTGCCTCCTCGGTCAGGTGCAGATACGAAGATCCATAGCGGGCCCACAACAGGTCTTCGTCTGGAAAAGCCTGGTGCTTCTGCATTCGGATTTTCCGTTTAGCCCAGTCGGGCTCAGATTCAACATCACCTGGCGAGCGGGCGTAAATCACAAGTTCAAGTTTACATCGGTCGTCGTCGGACCATGAGCTTAGGACCTTGAACAGCGATGTGACGGATTGCGTAAACGCCTTGTCGTTTGAACTGCGATCGTTCTCGTCCTCAAAGCGACTCCGGGCATGGACGCCGTACGCCGGTAAGATGCACTTGAAATCCAGCTTCCGAACGAAAGAGGGTCGCCATGGAGTGCTGGTGCGTCCGACAATGCGACGGAGATCTTCAAGGTTCGAGGAGTTGGCGAGCAGAGTAGAGAAGGTGGTTCTCTCCGCGGCTACTTGCCACTCTCGACAGACGCCAGCGCAAGAGACTATGTCATCTGTGAGAAAAGAAAAGATATGCAGGAGGGCCTCGAGAGGCAGTGAGCGAGCCATGGTGGAAGTCGCCAAGAGCGAAGCGGCGGAGGGACCCTGGCTAAACCTATTCGGGTATGCAAGATGTCAAGGGGGTTTTCCCCACATTCAACAGTCGACCACCTGGGCACATGTGTTGACAATCAACGACTGGCCTCGGTCTCACACGCATCAGTCACGGGACCCATATATAAGATGATTCGTAGCTCCCCGGATTCCATCGAACTCAGACCATCCTCACTCTCACTATGAGATACGTACTATTCTCCCTAAGCGCATTCGTGTTCTACGCGATCTTCTACTTTTCCTATATCAACGGGCTCGATGAATTGGGAAAAAGAGCCGTGGAATCTGGCAAGCTTCCTAGTATAAATGAGCCCCTGCGCTCAGTATACACTGGCGTTGAGCCAGTCGACAAGCTCCTAACGCTATTGACTACATTTTTCTACCCATCACTCGATGGCTCAAACCCCGGTCTTTTGCTTCACAGCATTGGCTTCTCGGGTACCTTCGGAGCAGCATGGACTCTAGTTGTCCTGGAGTCCTGGAGAAAGGGTAACACCGGAACAATTGTTGCTTAGTATGTTATCCACCCCATTAGCATAATAAATCGATTGCTAAACCACTGCTCCAGTCCAATGATCTTCGGCCTCGCAGCCCAAGTCCTCACTTTTGCTTTTGCAACTCCCTTGATTTGCGCTCTCCAGCTCGGCTGCTCAATCACCGCGCGTCGTCCCCATGCAGACAACATCCGCGTGCCGCGCGCGGTGCTCGCAGCTCTCCCATTGATCTTCGTAGTTGGGTTCATGGTCCCGACTAACATCATGGTCTTACCCGCTCCCGCTGTTATTCCAGTGGATGTGAAGCAAATCGCCATTGCGATGTGGCACCCCTGGCCTGGCTACGTGTCGATTCTGACTACCGTCGCGTACTTCATTTTGTCGCCTTTCTTCTCGGATAACCAGCGTGCGTCTATGTCTAGCTTGCGCTGGGTCTACGCATTTGCGTTTATCAACGCTTCTCTTTCACACCTTGTTTCTTGGATTGTGTCTTTGGCTACGGTTATCGTTCCAAGTCTGTTCGCGGATCATGTCCTGGAAACACTTCACCCAGCCAATGTTTTTGCGATTCCTCTTCCTTGGTCTGGACTGACTGTTGACAATGTCGGGGATGGTGTGCACGTTTTCCTGCGTTGGGATTATTTGATTGGCTCGGCTGGTATCTTGCTTTGGGCGATCCAGTTATATACTGTTGCTCACAAGCAACTTGGTGTTGTATCTTGGGTCAGTTTCTTGTTCAAGGTTACTCTCTTGACTGCTCTTGTTGGTCCTGCGGGTACTGCGGTTGAACTGGTCTGGGAGCGGGATGAGCTGGTTTTCTCAGAGACTGGTGGTAGCAGGCAGCAGGTTTCCAAGGCCAAGAAGTCCACCTGAATATTCTTGGCGAGGTGACAGTCACATTGGGAGGCCGTGGATTCGGATTGAAGAAGTATTTGTAGATGTCAATAACCCGTCAATTTTCTGGACATGAGGTTTTGTTAGTCTATCAATGACAGTATTTGACTTTCATTGCATATTTATTGAAGTGTTGCAAGCTAAAATACCTCACGAAGAAGATTGAGAATTCACGATCTCATAAACCGCTTTGAAATAAGCCTTGGTATTATCATTGCCGAGGGTACCCAACGACATTCTGTTCATGGCATAAGCAAGGGTCATCCGGCGACTCAAGTCCATAACAATCATAGAACCACCCCAGCCACCCCAGAAGCAGACAGTACCCTCGGGAATAAAAGGAAGCGGCTCCGCAGGTGTCAAAGCAACACCGAGAGCAAACCGAAGATTCAAACCGATCACAAGGTCCGGGCCACGCACACGTTCCTGGATCATCTGGTCAACAGTCTTAGGCGAAAGATACTGTTTCCCATCAACAGTCCCCTTCAAAGAAACCATGGATCCAATCCGCGCCAGAGCACGCGCATTACCGAACCCATTCGCCGCGCCAAGCTCAGCCTTCCTAAACCCAGGAGTCATCGACGTCTCCGCAACAGGGGGAACATGGGTCATAGCCTTGAAAGTGATGCTTTCTCGGTCCACAAGGTCCAAACCAGGCGGGGGCGGGGGAGGTGTGATATCAGCAGTCCGCCCCCAATCTTCTTCAGGAACACCGAGTCTGAAATCCGCGCCTAGCGGACCCGCAATCTCCTCGTCGATAAACTGCTTCAGTCCCTTGCCGCTGATACGTCGTACCAGCTCGCCGATCAGGTGCCCATGCGTCATCATTTGGTACCCATGGCTCTCACCAGGCGTCCACCAAGGCGCCTCCTGCGCGAGCTTCTCAGTCGAAGTCTTGATATCGTAGACGAATTCCATTGTAACCGGGTCCTCCCATGAGGGCAGGCCGGAGGAGTGGCTGAGGATTTGCCAGACTTTTACGTCTTCCTTGCCATTGGCGGCGAACTCGGGCCAGTATGTCGAGACGCGCTCTTCGACGTCTAGCTGGCCGCGGTCGACCAGTGTGAGGGCCGCCAGGGCCGAGACGATCTTGCTGCATGACCAGACTACTGTCAGGGTGTCCTCCTCCCAGGGGCGTGTCTTGGCGGCATCTGCATATCCGCCCCAGATGTCGAGGACGTTCTTTCCGTCGATGTTTACGCAGAGGGATGCGCCGAGTTCGTCGCCTGAGGTTAGTCTCTCTTGGAGAAGATCGCGGATCCGGTTAAATGCGGGGTCACAGGAGCCGTGCGTATCCGCCATGGTGGAGTTCTTCGAGGTATGTGTTGTGTACTCCGTAGAGGATAGGGAGGAGATGAGGGTTAGCTATTGCAAGAGAGGTACAGAGATTGAAGGTGAATCGAGATTGAAACAGAGAGTCTCTGATGGTTCCCTACCTGCATATTTATGGCGATCTTTGCAATGCTTTAACGTTAGTGCTGCTGCGGGGACTAGGTGGAACACCGCGTATATATGTTTATGCCGAGGCTAATGAGCAGAGACTCGTCAATTGGACGTAACACCTTCCTAACTAGGAGAGTTTGTGGCCAATAGTTCTCTGCGGGGATGTGGCTGTATATTGGACTTCTTTTACTCCTTGCAATCCAAAAAGTGAGCATGTCGATTGTCACCTGATTGGGCGTTTCGAGTTATGCACGATCTTCGTAACTTTATGCGCTTTGGATATCCGATCTGTGACGTCATGATAAACATGTGAAGTACGAAGTGTCAACTGCAGACTGCAGAGTGCCTCAAATATGCCATCGACAAGTGCCGATGGCCATGCATTTACATCGGATAGATATACTATTTTAACTTTCACAGGTTCCGCACGGAGCGTATTTCCCAATCAGGCTATATAACGGCACACCCGGGGAGATCAATCGATGACGCCCTCGACCACTAGATCACGAAAAAAATGGCACCTCAACAGGAACCGAGTCGTTTACCGAATATATGTCCAGTATATATGCACCGTGCTATCCAACCATCGGAGCTCTAGAGTTTCAGCACTAGCCCAGCAATATGGATCCTCCTCGCGCATCTTCTCACAGTCCGGGGGATACTAGCCCTAGTGGAAGCGATGACCTCAGCACTATTGAAACGAGCCCAGACCGCCGCTTATCAGAACAACGAAGCCTCCAGCCGGAGCTCGAGCGTCGGCAAACCAACCTCGGCGACGTCGAACTTGCGCGTATCGAAACCTACCGACTACAACACCGCTCGACAGTAGGCTCAGGCACTGGCATCACACCTCGTGAACAATGGCTTCCCCTCGGAGCTGGGAAGCCCTACCCACCTTCCCTCCCAGACCCGGAACAATATCTGGTGGAATTCACGGATGCCAATGATCCGCTCCATCCCCAGAACTGGCCATTGTCCAAGAAGATTGGTATCTCGGTGACTCTAGCCTATACAACATTCGTATCCTCCTTCGCTAGTGCCATTTTCTCCTCCGCAGTCGGCGCGATCGGTCCCCATTTTCATATCAGCACGGAGGTAGCCGTTCTCGGTGTTACCTTGTATGTCCTGGGTTTCGCGTCTGGACCAACAATCTGGGCACCGGCCAGTGAGCTCATAGGCAGAAGATGGCCAATCTGTATTGGCATGTTCGGCTACTCTATATTTACTATTGCGACAGCGACAAGCAAAGATGTCCAGACATTGATGCTAACCCGGTTCTTTGCTGGGTTCTTCTCTGCCAGCCCCATCGCCATCGTGCCTGCCGTCTTTGCCGATATATATAACAACCAGACAAGAGGTGTGGCTATTGCCATGTTTGCCATGGCTGTGTTTGTGGGACCGTTCGCCTCGCCATTCGTGGGTGGCTTCATTACATCCAGTTATCTTGGCTGGCGATGGACTATGTACATTGCTTCCATCATGGGTTGGCTGGCTACTGGACTTTGTCTTCTACTTTTGAAGGAGACGTATGCACCCGCTGTTCTGGTAGAGAAAGCGTCTACTCTCCGACGACAGACCCACAATTGGGGTATTCGCGCTAGACAGGAGGAGATTGAGCTCGACTGGGGTGAACTCATCACGAACAACTTCAGTCGACCATTCCGTATGCTCTTCACGGAACCAATTGTCTTCTTGGTATGTTGTGCTTCAATAAAAGGTGTAAATTGGCACTAACTTTAACAGATTTCCCTGTGGATGAGTTTCGTCTATGGACTAATGTACGCACTTCTCGGCGCCTACCCGGTTGTGTTCCAAGGCATCCACGGAATGAGTCTGGGCGTTGGTAGTCTGCCCTTCATTGCACTGATTATTGGCGAGGCTCTAGCCGGCTCCTATATCCTCTGGGACCAGAAGGCATACAGCAAAAAGTTGACCGCCAACAACAACATTCCCATCCCGGAGTGGCGACTCCCCCCAGCCATCGTTGGTGGTATCTGCTTCTGTGTCGGCCTTTTCTGGTTCGGTTGGACTGGCTGGACAAAGTCAATCCATTGGATGGCTCCTACTGCCAGTGGACTAATGACTGGATTTGGGATCTACGTCATCTTCTTGGAGTGTTTCAATTATCTGATTGATTCGTACTTGACCTTGTAAGTTTTATTTTCCCCTGGGACTGCAGTGCCTTATGCTGACGTCAACCTTAGTGCTGCATCCGTCTTCGCTGCGAATACAATTATCCGATCAGCCGTCGGTGCCGCTTTCCCCTTGTTCTCTAAGCAGATGTTCAATAATCTGGGTGTGCAGTGGGCTGGTACTCTTCTTGGATGTCTTGCCCTCATCATGGTTCCTATTCCTCTGGCATTTATCAAATGGGGACCTTCGTTGCGGAAGAAATCGAAATTCGCCCCGGTCTTTGAACCGAAACGTACGACTCAAGTGGAAAAGCAGGGATCTCAAGCTGTTTAGAAACCAATTTGAAAGCTTGGCGCTTGGGTTGTATTAGATTGACATTATCATGAATCACATATTTGGCGTTGGGACATTGGTTTCATCGTGAACTACTTAATCATATTTATGCACCGAATCAAAAATGAATGAAACGTGAAAGAGCTAGACAACTAAAAACAGGGCCTCAGTCTTGTCGTATCTGATTCGCCAGTCTCTTTTACCAGAGTAAGCATCCAAAGCTTACTGTGGTGTGCACGAACGTGACTTCCTCTCCGTATAGATAGCTCCGGCGCTCTAACCTCATACCACTATCATCTCCGACAGATACTGTACACTTCACAATCAGCAAACTACAAGCGGCGGAACTTTTTCAAGTCAGCCGCCCCCGTGCAAGTCCGATATCTCTAGATCGCACAGCTTGATTATGCGATCTAGAGATATGTGATAACACACGACCGGAATCGACCGATCCATAATACCCCAGAGCCCCAGAGCCACGAGGCAAGGACTGGGGAAGCAATGGACGCAAAGTAGTTCATGTACATTCGGCTTCCTCCGTCTTATCGACATGAACCCTGCACATCATCTCCACGACTAATATGGAATGATAAGATAAAGCCCAAGAGGGCTGAGCGCCGCATTGGCGTCTTGGCGTTTCAGGCATGTATGGCATTATGAAGCCAAACAATCGAAAAATCATACGAAGACATTCGGATTTTTATAGCTAATTCGGGAGTCGAAGACCGTTCGCCTGTCCCTTTTTTTTTTCTTTCCGGACCCATCGGGTTGCCGAGGCTCGACCCATAGACACAACGCTGTCGGCAAGCTCACAGCCAATTAGGACTTGAGTTCGGCATCTCACGGGCGAAAGCGACTCCGCCAAGCCGCCAAGACCCATGGAAGGCGGAGATAGCTGGGACTGGACCCAAATGAGATTTTTTCTTACCTGGCTTATCAGCATGGTGTGGTTGGCTGGTTATTCTTCTTTTTTCGCTTCGATGTGACATTCTCTTCTTCTTCTGCTTCTGCAGGAACATCTTTAAATACTGCGTCTTAACGACGGGTTCTGTTCTATATCTAGTACAGGACGTGATACTTCGCCTCTCACGCATCCCACGATGATCAAGAATTGGATTCACAATACCAACTTGCGGGTTGCCCGCAGTCCCGTAGGGAAATGGTTCCGTCTAGAGGGCTCTGGTCATGTAAGGATTTCTATACATACGCTCTATTCTCTATTCTCTATATCCTGCGTGACGTGTGATAGCAGAGGCAAGCGTGCGATGGGAGCTGACACCGTGATAGCCCAGAGAGAGGAAGGGAAGCTACTTCTTCACTGAAATTCGCGCCGGCCTCGCCACATTCTTCGCCATGGCATATATTATCTCTGTCAACAGCACCATCACCTCCGCTACCGGTGGAACCTGCGTCTGTCCCGAAGAGAGTATGTCAGATCACTGCGCCACCAACGCCGAATATGCACTGTGCACGCAGGAAGTCAACCGAGACCTCGTCACCGCTACCGCAGCTATCTCCGCGCTGTCTACATTCTGTATGGGTCTATTTGCAAACCTGCCTATCGCCCTCGCCCCCGGTATGGGTCTGAATGCCTACTTTGCCTACACTGTAGTTGGTGTGCGCGGTACTGGCTTGGTTTCCTACTCCACAGCTCTCACTGCGGTCTTCGTTGAAGGCTGGGTATTCCTTGGCTTGACCCTCATCGGTATGCGACAGTGGCTAGCGCGTGCGCTCCCATCTTCAATTAAACTCGCCACCGGCTGCGGTATCGGTCTATATCTCGCCTTGATTGGTTTGACATATGATGCCGGTATTGGACTGGTACAGGGTGCGTCGTCCACACCAATTGAATTGGCTGGATGTGCGTCTCAATACTTCGACCCTGAGACCGGATTGTGTATGAGCAGCGAGAAAATGCGCAACCCCACTATGTGGATTGGTATTTTCTGTGGTGGAATCCTGACTGCCTTGTTGATGATGTACCGCATCAAGGGTGCTGTTATTATCGGTATTTTGTTGGTGTCGATCATCTCGTGGCCTCGCACTACTCCCGTCACTTACTTCCCCTACACCGAGTTGGGCACGAGCAAGTTCGACTTCTTCAAAAAGGTGGTGACATTCCATCCTATTAAGCACATTCTCGTTGCTCAGGATTGGGATCTCTCCGGCAAGGGTGGCCAATTTGGATTGGCTTTCATTACATTCTTGGTATGTGACACACAGTTCTACCCAAGAGCTTGACACTAACAGATTACAGTATGTCGATATTTTGGATACTACTGGTACAATGTACTCAATGGCCCGATTCGCCGGCACCATTGATGAAAAGACCCAAGATTTCGAGGGCAGCGCCATCGCCTATATGGTCGATGCAATCTCTATCTCCATTGGATCCCTGCTTGGCAGCCCTCCTGTGACAGCATTCGTCGAGTCTGGCGCGGGTATTTCTGAAGGTGGCAAGACAGGTCTGACATCGTGCACGACCGGCATTGCATTCTTCATCTCCGTCTTCTTCGCACCAATCTTCGCCTCTATTCCACCCTGGGCAACGGGTTGCACGCTCGTGATCGTTGGTGCATTGATGGCCAAGGCTGCCGCTCAGATCAACTGGCGCTACTACGGTGATGCCATTCCCGCATTCCTCACCATCGCCATCATGCCTTTCACCTATAGTATTGCCTACGGTCTGATTGCTGGTATCACCAGCTACATCGCTCTCAACGGTATTGCCTGGATCATCGAGAAGGTCAGCGGTGGTCGTATCGTCCCGCCTAACAAGGACGAGTCCGATCCTTGGTCCTGGAAGGTCAAGGGTGGTTTCTTGCCACCCTGGGTTAACCGTGCTGCTCACGGAAAGAAGGATTTCTGGCGCCCCGATGAGGAGTATGCTGAGCAGCGTGTTGATGTGGGTGAGTCTGGATCTCTTGCCTCGTCGGGCGAGCGTGTAGCTCTTGAGAAGGGTCAGGAGCCCGGTGATGCTCGCCCTGTGAAGTCCTTGTAAATATGATCAGGGGATGAAAGGAGTTTGGATATGGGTTTCTTTGCATGGCATTCTAGCGACATGTTAATTCTTTAATGGTAATGTATTTACTCATGCTTCCTAGCCTGTTAGATGGGTCGGGCACGCCATTACTGTAAATGAACATATTTTTACACACATTTTCAGCCCGTATAAAACCATTCTACATGCAATTCAAAAACGACAATACTATCCAATATTCATTAAGATATCACATTAATCAAGCAAACAATTGAACCTTAAACCCCTCCGCGCTATTAAGACAAGAAGTAGACCAAGCATCTGATCTTGGAGACAAAATCCCCTTAACATGAGCCTCGTTACATTGCTTTTCAGACCCGATACGATGGCTTAGTCGCCGAATGACCATCCATCTCACTGAGCGGACTATTAGGCAGCTCAAATGTCCCCGCATCACCAACAAGCTCAACAAGCTTCGAACCAGGCGCAGGACGGAACGACGCTCCCCCCGAAGAACCTGGCAGCTTCTCTGTAGCACCACTCAGAGAAGAAACGGTAGCCTCAGCTTCATGAGGCCCAAAGCTACCGGGTTGGACGATAGCTGGAGCATTTTTCTTGCGATTCCTCCGCATAAAGAAGAAGATAAGACCAGCGAGGACAGCAAGACCTGCTACAACACCAATCACGATACCTGCAATTGCTCCACCGGAGAGACCAGAGGAAGTGTCACTCGTGGCAGCGACACTGGGCGTTGGGGTCGAGGTCGGTGTGCTCGTCGCAGACTCGGAAACGGATGTGGATGTCGACGTGGAAGTAGATACAGAAGTAGATGCAGCTGTGGAGGAAGTGGGCAGCGCAGTGGTGCTAGTAGTAACGGCCAGTCTCTCAGGAGCGATGTCGACACCGAAGAAGGAAGCACTAGCATTCTTCCTCCAGGAAGTACACGAGTATCCTGCTCGGGAACTACATACGTCGTCGTAGTATATCGAAACGCAGAGGTCAGATCCCTCGGGGTCATATGTGAAAAGTTTGTCCTTGGCGAGGCTTATAGCCGTGCAATTCTGGTCATCGTTGCCGCGTAGGATCAGCGTGCTATCTGTTTTGTTGGTGTAGCGGAATGTCCATGCGGTCGCCAGTGGGAGGAGAGAGAGGGCGTATAGTGGCAGCATCAACATGGTGAGTTGATCACTTGAGTCCTGTGGACCAAGACCAAAAAATAGGGAGGGAGTACTAAAAATGAGAATTAGACTTTGGGAAGATGTGCGGAAGGGGGTGTTGGTAATATAACCTTCTGGAGTGCAGACTCTCTCGCCCGTTCTGGGGCCTGGGGCCTGGGGAGAAATAGAATTAGCTCGTATTCATATGAGCCTCGTCTCCATCGGAGTACTTTTCAGCCCATGCTTTGGGCCATTCAGGACCCTTCATTGTGGACCCTTGTAGTAACCGCAGCTGATGATCTATACCGGGTGAGGAGTAGATCGACGGACTATTTGAGCTGCAGATTGAAACCATTCCTAGCGTGCTTTTAGGGCTCGGAGGTGGCTTCTGTGTGAAAGGGTGTAGGTTTGAAGGGGTGTCAAACTCGATGGATAGGTTGGCCTTTGAAACAAGCCACATGAACTCGAATGAAGTTGAAGTATAACCACAATTTCAGAAATAGTGGATACAACTTTGACAGTCATTTAGCCCCTGGTGCCTGGTTCATTGGTGGAACACAGGGAACAGTAGCCTTGTGTTGTACTTCGTACATCCCCGTCTGAATCATAACTTAAAACAGAAATATCTAGCCGTTTGTGTCCCCATGACCCGAAATTCAGATCTCGGTTACAGCCATCGTGCCCGTTCAGGACGGTGATTGGCGCCTCATGGGCCGAATACGAGGCGTCGGGCCTCTGGAATTTTAAGAAATAAAGTATTCTCCGTCCCCTTTCAGAGGGTTTGGACAAGCCAAAGCAAGCGATTGTATCAATATGGCTTGCAAGGTATTTTTCTATCTTGTTTCCTTGCTTCGACTTTGTTCATTCATCGCTCGAGGCACCATTTACCATTGTGTAGCAAACAAAGGAGAGATCGCCAAGAACCTCGGCATGAGAATGCTTGGCAACAGGTAGAACCTGAATGGGCGACAGGAGTCCAGTTCGTATTTTTGCTGAAGTTTTCCTCGGAGTCCGGGCTATGATCCATCAATATTAAGCAGCGGCCAGTCCCGCAAAGGAACCTTGGCCCACTGGGCGATCATTCTAGGGCCAGTCTGGGACAGCACAAATTTCTGAAAGAGAGTGGCCGAGAGAGGTACAAATATAGGGGTTAGAGCAGGTAGCAGAATAAGAATTTTGTTCTGTCATATCTGCGGGTGAAGTGTGTTCGGTTACCTCCTTGGTCAAGATCCAGGGTTCAGTGACCAAGACACCCTAATCCTGATAGATGACAGTGGTTGATCTTCTCCCCGCGTTTTCTCGAAGGTTACAAATTTCAAATGACATGGATTGAGATGACAGTAAGGCAGCCTATATGTTGCCGATGTGGGCAAGTTATTTATTGTTTGCCTTTGACCGAACGACATGACGTCAAAAATATTTCACGTTGATGATGCGCACAACACATCGCGGCAATATCTATTGCTTGATATAATTTCATCTGTGAGAGGAAACATGTTGAAGAAATGAACTGCGTCGACTTTTTATCGGCTTTGGCCTTCCTACGAGCATGTCTCTACACTAAAAGCTGTCATCCCAGATCCAACCATATCAGATCAGCTGGTCGTAGCATCCAGCAAGCCGAACTGAAGGCATGATTGTATGGTGATGTATTGGCATGGACGATGATCTAGAATTCTTTGTTGTCTCATTGGTTTCCTGATGTGACCATCTGGGCAATTGGTATGTCGTGTTCGACGTGGGCTCCCGTGTAGATCACGATTGACCACAGATCATCGACCTTTATCTTAGTCTGAGTCCAGCTCTGCGAGGAGAGATATTGCAGTGTACAGCGGAGCCCTACGGATGGTTTTGCTTGGCGACCATTACTTTGTGATTGCTCTTGATGGTCAGCCATGGTCGAGTATTACCTGAAGCCAATCAAACATGTTTCCCCTGTAGCAAAAGGTAAATAAACACCATGGGTCACCATTCAGTCAGCATTATTGACTGACCAGAGCCGTTGCGTGCCGGATCTTCTTCTAATGGATTTATTTTCATCGTTCAAGCCTGCTTATTCTACCTAATTCTACTCTGAGAAGGCGATTACTGTCTGCTGGAAGGACTAGTGACCCTGCATCATAATCTGACTACCTATATCTCTCTGTGTCCTAGTTTACTGGCAGCTGTCCTGCAGGTGTGTTGAGGTATGTATGGCTTCCCTAAACTTTCCACAACTTTCACTCTTTCTGTTGGCTTTTTACGAGAGGTGTTTCTTTAATGGGTGGCAGTTCTTCTGCTTCTGATCTCAAATTTCAAGTTCGATACGCTTACTGACGCATCATTCGTGCAGTCAGCCCCTCAACTGATATCCTAAACCGGATAGTGAGCTGACCCCTACATCCGGTAAGAAGCCCCTACGATGCAGCAAGGCTCGAAGATACCGATCGACCAGCCTGGTTGGTGAGCTCAAAGCAAACATAATGATCTGACCTTTGCAACAGTAATTTTCTGACTTTCCATCGGCTCAACAAGATGGTTGCCATCAAATTGATTCCTCACACGAAGTCTCCCTCTCCGTCTCCGTTTCCATCCCTGAACTTCCTTGCTGCGCGAGATAACTGGGCAAACAAGAACCGCGGTGTAGTTCTTGTCTTCGCCATCGTCTTTCTTGTGGTAGTGGGGATTATTGCGTTATTTGCGTACCGTCGGTGGTTGAAGCGACAAGCCGAAAAGGAGACTTATGAGACGACCGAGTGATCAGTTCGTTCTTTATCTTCAGTGCTGCCATTTGTCAATCTCGAAGGTAATTGAAGTTGCCGTGGCATGGAGCTGGGTGCGCGTTTAGTGGCTGGGATTGCGCTATGGTTCTGGATATTCTTGTAGCCAACTAGATGATAATACAGGGTTTTCCATTTGACTGTATTCGTGTATCGTTTTGAGCTTGTAGGCAGATGCTCTATCGTAATCTTCTTTACGCAACAGCTACGAGTGAGGATTCTGAGAGATTGATTTGAGTGGTCGGTGGTCAAATTTGACACTCCTAGCGCAGTTGCAATTTCGAAACCCATCTGTCCTGCTTCATCTGTAGCGACACCCCCTCCGTTTGTGAACACTGTGACCTTATCTTTGGTGAGCCGCAATGCCATCAACATGGGCTCTAGGTCCTGGGACTGGAGACCTAAGAGCCCGATGTGGCCTCCACGATTTTCGTAAGCATCGCAAAACAAACAGTGAACGCTGGGTTTCAAAAAGGGATTAGCGGACAGGGTATCCGTAGATATTTCTTTCAAAATAAACTCACATTCCTCGACCACAATGTTCCTTGTACCCAGTGACCGGAGGCAGAATATCTTTTGTGCCAGATGCGAAGATCAGCTTCTGACCAAGCCATACCAGACCTTTTTGATTGGTGAGCTCGAAGAGGCGGCAGGAACTGTTAAAAACCAGGCGAGTCCTGATGACCTGTGTGTCGATGAAAGTGATGGTGTCATATTTATCCATCATTTCCCTGACTGCTGTGGCATGAAAATATTCGGGCTTTTGACCGTCACGGCAAAGAACGTTGTGCATCATCGTCGCCGACTCGTTGCGATATTACTGGGAATCGAAGAAGGCCACGGATCTACAAACTCTTCCTAGGGCCATGGCAGCGGCCAATTCAGCAGGACCGCCGCCGCCGATGAGTGCATCGAAAAGGTGTGTGTGTAACGGTTAATGATTTAGTGATGAGGCTTGGGTAACGTCTTGTTCAAAGGGGGTCGGAAGAAATATATACACACATCTTCTCTTCACCCAACGACCAACCTAGCAATGTCGAGTTCAGCATCCACAAGACGTGGCCAGAATTGGTAGTAATCAGTACTCCGCTGTCGCTGTGTGGGATGTACATAGTACTAGCTAACAATATGATCTGTTTACTTTATAGTACGATAAATAGAGATTTGACTTGCTCATTCTTCCTGTGATATCCAGGCAATGAGTTTTGCCGAAATCTCGAGATGCTCGCGATTCAAGTCTAAAGGTTTTGTAAATTTCGCACCGAAGAGGTACTTAGCGCATTCGTTCTCTCCTGGGATCAGTGCCGGCATATTGTCAATCCCACACCCACTCCGACCCCGAAGTGGTGAGAAGGCGATTGGTCATATACCCGATGGTGCAAACACAGGTTGGTAAAACTATATTTCCTTGCCGATAGAGCCGTCTTCGAACAAGGATTACGATTGATTTTGATAATCAACTTCTCTGTTTGTGATTGATGTACTGTAAATCTGCAATTGAATGACACCCTAGCGGCATCGGCAATTAAAAGCAATCGCCGGCGGCAATTGAGCAAGAAAGAAGGCAGCTTGTCCAACTGACGCTAACTTGACATTATATGGAGAATGACGACAATGAAACAATTATGATCATCATAGTAGAACTAAGCAGTATATTCCCCAAGATATCGGTATCATGCCATAACCCCAGATTTTATAGAGCGTCATTGGAGATCACGGACAGACAGGGGTATAATTCTTCCATCAATCAGCGGGCTCGGACATTATCACCACCACAGCGTCTCCACCAAGCCATGCCGTCTACACCAACGCCAATAGCCGTTCCCCGCGGCAAGGCGTAGAGCCATGTCCCATAAACCAAAGCCATCCCTCAATGGATGGAGAAACTGTCGCCTTGATCCCAGACTGCGGGGCCCCCCGCCAAAATTTCCCCAATTCGTTCCCTAACCTCCACATCCGCAACCCCGGACACTTTAGCTCGAGGCTTTCGGCATGGACCAGCTAGCAATGAAGCCACTTGATTGCTTGTCTTGCTTGGTGTATCGCATGGCGTTGCATTGGTCCGTTATCTGCCCGAACTAAGTATAAAGCACGATGTGACCCGATTCCGATGGCTCCTCCTTTTCTTCTTCTTTCTGCGGACTTTTCCTGGGTCATTTTTTACCCGTTCTCTTGTTTCTGGTGACATTTTGGCACAGGATACCACTTGTACCCCTTCAAGATGGGTTTCGTCGATTTTAAGAATTACCGGGTCTATATCCTGACCTCGGTGGCCTATATGGGCTCACTGCTGTTCGGTAAGTGATTTATGCTCTCTATAAAATGCAGGGCTAATATATGACTCCCCAGGTTATGACACGGGTGTTATGGGCTCAGTCCTGGCTCTTTCGAGTTTCAAAAAGGACTTCGGCCTCCCCGTTGATTCATCCGGGTTCAGCGACGACAAGAATGCCCAGATCTCCTCCAACGTGGTATCGCTACTGACAGCCGGCTGTTTCTTTGGCTCCATATTTGCTGCTTATATTAATGACCGACTGGGCCGTCGATACTCGCTAATGATCTTCTGCATGGTCTTCCTGGTCGGAGCAGCGATCCAGGTCGGCGCCCACCATGAGATTGGCATGATCTACGGCGGTCGTGTCATTGCCGGTCTGGGAATCGGTGGCATGTCGAGTATCACTCCGGTTTTTGTCAGTGAGAACTGTCCCCCGGCTATCCGTGGTCGTGTGGCGGGTCTTTTCCAGGAGTTCCTCGTCATTGGTAGTACCTTCGCCTACTGGCTGGACTATGGTGTTTCTCTTCATGTCCCTGAGGGCACAAGCCAATGGCGCATTCCTGTGGCCATTCAGCTTGTCCCTGGTGGTCTGATGTTCGTCGGGTTGTTCTTCCTCAAGGAGTCTCCCCGTTGGCTGATGAAGAAGGGCCGCAGTGAGGAGGCACTTAACTCCCTCGCTTATATTCGAAATGATTCTGAGACCAGCGAGGAGGTTGTCAAGGAGTTTGCTGAAATCACCGCTGCTATCCAGGAGGAAAATGCTGCTACTGAGGGCATGACCTGGAAGGAATGCCTGAAGCCGACCAACCGATACCGTTTCTTCCTGGCCTTTGTTCTTATGTTCTGGCAGCAGTTCTCTGGAACCAATAGTATTGGTTACTACGCCCCTCAAATCTTTGCCAGTGTTGGACTGAGCAAGACCAACTCCTCCCTGTTCGCCACCGGTATCTATGGAACAGTCAAGGTGGTCGCAACGGCTATCTTCCTGATCATCGGTATCGATCGCTGGGGCCGAAAGAAGAGTTTGATCGGTGGTGCTGCTTGGATGGCTAGCATGATGTTCATCATTGGCGCTGTCCTGGCCACTCACCCCCCTAATGAGAAGGCTACTTCGGTCTCATCCGCGTCCATTGCTATGGTTACCATGATCTACCTATATGTCATTGGATACTCAGCATCTTGGGGCCCAACACCTTGGGTGTATCTTGGAGAGGTAAGCTTTCTTTCTCGTTGATACTTCAAGTCACATTCAACTAACATTGTTTCTAGATCTTCCCAACTCGTCTCCGTGCCTATGGTGTCGGCTTCGGTGCAGCCACCCAATGGCTGTTCAACTTCGTCATTACTGAGGTGACTCCTCGAGCCATCAACAAGATTGGCTGGAGAACTTTCCTCATGTTCGGCATCTTCTGTTTCGCCATGGGCATCTTTGTAATTATATTCTTCAAAGAGACCAAGGGCCGCACCCTCGAGGAGATGGATCTCATTTTCGGTGCCGTTGATGAGCAGCAAAGGCGTGCTGATGTCGAACACACTTTGCAGAAGACTCAGATTATGCACGAAGAGAACGCAGAGGCTAGGACTACTACGGAACGCAGGGATTGAATTGAATGACTATAACTAGATGACAACTTGGGATATACATGGGTCAAGGCATGATAGAACGTATACATACACTTGGCAGATATACATAGGAATAGATTTGAATGAATGTATCTCATGTTTCAACCTCATTAGAATATCTATAAGTATTCACCTGTGAGTATGCGGAATACTTCGCCCGGGACCCACAAAAAAAGCCGCGGGGAACTTGCCGATTTCCCCTCGCGTCAAATTCCTCTTCGCGCAACATTCTCGATGGGTTCCCTTGAAGAAACGTGCGCATCTCTGCGCGCCCAGATCACCGCCACAGAGGAACAGCTTGCTGGACTGAGACGCGATCTCGCGAACGCCGAGCAAGCGCGATCGGAGAGCGCAACCACAACCACCGCGGGAAACGAACACAATGACCGGAATGGCCAAGCAAGACGGTGGCCGCTGCTTCAGGAGGAATATAAACGATATGGACGACAGATGATTGTCTCTCAAGTCGGACTTAAGGGTGAGCGACAACTCCTTGATGGGCGTTAAGGGTACGACTGGAACAATTGGGCTGACTGCGAGCTTCTGAATTACAGGTCAGCTGAAACTTCGATCAGCCAAGCTTCTGCTCGTGGGAGCTGGAGGACTGGGATGTCCAGCTGCGCAATATCTCGCCGGTGCTGGTGTTGGCACAATTGGTTTAATTGATGGGGATACGGTCGAGGTGTCGAACCTGCATCGCCAGGTGCTGCACCGAACAAAGAACGTGGGGAAGTACAAGGTGGACAGTGCAATCGAATCGCTACGAGAGTGAGTTCTGCCTTTGGGTTGTAGATCTGAGCTCCTGCTAACAATATTCTGCGATTGACCAGGCTTAACCCACATCCCACCTACGTTGCGCACCGAACGCACCTCACGCCCGACGAGGCGCCCGCGATCTTCCGGAACTATGATCTGATCCTCGATTGCACGGACAATCCGGCAACACGTTATTTGATTTCGGATACCGCGGTGCTTACCGGCAAACCATTGGTTTCTGCGTCCGCTTTACGGACCGAGGGACAGCTTATGGTGTTGAACAACCCACCCCGAGCTCCGGGTGATAAGACTGGAGGACCGTGCTATCGCTGTGTGTTCCCCAAACCGCCACCGGCTGATAGTGTGGTCAGTTGTGCCGATGGTGGTATCCTGGGACCGGTGGTCGGGACCATGGGTGTCTTGCAGGCCCTCGAGGCAATTAAGGTCATTACTGCGCCTGATGTTGGTGTGGCAGATGGTGCTGCGAGTGTCTCGCGCGACCCTCCAGCCCTGCATGTCTTCTCGGCGTACTCCAGTCCCTTGGTTCGCACAATCCGTCTTCGTTCGCGCCGAGCAAACTGTGCAGTGTGCTCTGCCGAGGCGACAGTCACGGTGGATACGATCAAGTCAGGATCAACTGACTATGTATTCTTCTGTGGCTCTGCAAGCATTCCATCTTTACTTGGCCCCGAGGAACGTATCTCTGCGCAGGAGTACCATGAAAAGTACCCTGGTGTATCCGAGGCGTCGCCACACACTGTAATTGATGTGCGAGATAAGGGGCAGTTCGAAATCTGCAGTTTGGAAAATAGCATCAACATCCCTATTTCGGATATCCTTTCCTCGGGATATTCAAAGCTACAGGCGGCCGACGCTGAGAAGCAAGCTCCGCAATTGCCTTCTTGGTTACCGTCTGAACTCGGCTCCGAGTCCAACCCGATCTACGTGGTCTGCCGTCTAGGAAATGACTCGCAGATTGTCGTGAAGAAAATGAAAGAGCTAGGACTAGATCAGAACGGGCAGAGGTTCATTGGTGATATCCGCGGCGGTCTACGATCGTGGAAAGAACAGGTAGATCCAGAGTGGCCTGAATATTGACGTTTCAAGCCTCTCGACATTCAATTCAAAGCAATACTCAAGATTTCCTGGAAAAGCAACCCCTGAACATATTCTCTTGTTGCTTATTTCCTTTCCCATCTCCAAGTTTCAACAGGCCATAAGTGGTCTGATCATGTCAGCCCGGGGCTGCCATAGTTAAAGACTGATGAAGGGAGAAAACCCTAGGCGGACCTAGTTCCACCACCAAATAACATCCATACGGCCTCGGTCAAGGTTACCAAACTGCTGAAATAGAGAAGGAGTAACATCGATATCGTTCTCCTTGCACCCCTCGCAGCGATCAACGACAGTTGCCTCGACGGTACGGCCTCCGCGTTGGATATGGATTTTCTGGCCACAGAGCCCGTTGTTGTTGGGGTTCGTGCCACGCGCCTCACGGTCAAACACAATATGGGAGACAGCGGCGATGTAGTCCGTGTCGACGTTCCACCGGCCACAAGCTCCGAGGCCGGTATCGAACCAGGTGAGGTCACCAGAATAGGGACCGCCGCTAATTTCGGTAATGAGCTTGCCGTCGGTATTGGGCCTACGTTTGGGGTCAGCTTGGTTCATTCAAGTCTGTCCATCTTTGATAGGCCGAGGTGATATGCGAGCTTCCATCATGTCTTCGACTTACTTGCTCACGTCCAGAGCGGTGGGAGCCGCGATGGTCCCTCCGATGAGGAGGAAAGCCGTCATGGTCATCAACATGGTGTTGAGCTTGAAAGGCATCGTGAAATCCTTCCTTGGAGAAGGTTGGATTGACTGAAAGATGAAGGATGTTCAAAAGAAGGTGAGGAAGTCCGTCTGGATTCGGGTTGTCTCTGTCCACTCCAGATATCCAGGCCCGAGGTCCTAGATATAGCAGAGATCGGAGTATCAAAAGCCAAGTGCAGGATCAAAGAGACATCGGATATCACACCTCAGCGGAGTAATAGAAAGGAACGGAGTGAATGAAAGACGCAGTGAGAAAGTCCATGGAGGTTTGTGGGTTTCATCGAGGGCATTGAGGCATTAACGTTATTGACAGCATCACAATGAGCAAACATCTCTACAATGCAAATAAATTGAACAACAAGGCGAATATCTTTTACTTTCATTCGGTTACTTCCCTCGGCGCCATTTAAGACTTTTAGCAATAGTACAGGACCTTTGTCGGAATCGAAGTACGATCGAGATAGAAGGGAGCTAAGATACAAGAACAAAAGTACAGTCTATCGGCAGTTCGTACAACCACCATCCGTGCCTGAATGCATACTACACAACAGATATACACCGATCTACAAACCGTTGCAGACGTCAATTCTAGAGGTGCAGAACTGTTAACCTCGGTTTGCTCCACAACGGCAATGAACACCAATAACATCACGCGGTCCGCAGTCCACACCCGTAGATTCGAAAGGCGGGACGTCGCCCCGACGTTCCTTCAGAGCTCTTTAAGGGCAACGTTGTACAGCGCTTTCGACTGGCATTTATACCATTGCTGTCTGCGCGATTAGATCACGTGTTCATGGCACCTCCTTCTGAAGATCTGAGCCAAGACCTGCAGGGCGTCCAACTTGTGTAAAGATGGCGTCGCGAACGACTTCGCGCCAGTCGGCGTCTTCGTTTGACTCGCCAGAGGCGCAGGATGATCCTCCCAAGGAAAAACAGACTTTTGTTGGGTTTGTCAAGAAGATTTGGGGGAAGACGGGGTTGGATCGGCCGACTGTCTTGTTGATGATGAAGTATGTCTCCATGTGCCCCTGACAGCTGGGAAGGTATCTTGTTATAGAGAACGCATCGCTAACTATTATATTAGGGGCGGTCTTGCACCAACCATCGCCGTGGCCATGTGAGTGATTAACCCGACAATCTCCCAGGCCATGAGTCTATCTAACCGCGGTCACAGTTACCAAGCCACGCCAGTGGCCGACCAGTTCACTACTCTGGGCTATCTAATGGCCATCATCTCGATTCTGGGCTTTGCGATCATGCCCCGCGCAAAATTCATCCAAATGATGATTTTTGACATTCTTGCTGTCTGCATAGCAGCCTGTTTTGCGCTCTTGACTATGTATTCAAGTGTCAAAGCGCGACAAAATACGGCCACTCCCTCCAGTGGCACATACAACTCATCGGCATCTGCGGTCAGTGGTGTCTGGCTCTTCTTCCAGATCTGGATGGTTCATACCTTCCGTGCCAAATACCCGCAGCTGCAATTTCCGGTCATTATATACGCCATGTTTGCCAATATCGCGTCTGTTTACTCTCCACAGATGCAGAATATGACTGCCGCCATTGCTTTTGTGAGACGACTGCTGGAGTCTTCTCTCACGGGTCTCGCTATCTCGACCGTCACGTCTTTGTTCATCCTTCCCATGACGTCGCGTCAGGCTGTCTTCAAGCAAATGGCCGGGTACATTAGTGGGCTTCGTTCCGCTTTGAATGCCCACGCATTGTACTTTGAAAGTCTAGAAAGAGATGACATGTTCGGTCGGACCGAGACGTTTGATGACGCCCGTGAGAAATTTAGTGAAAAAGGGAAGGTCTATAGCCCGGAGGCGGAGGCCATCCGTGCTGCAATCCGACAGATCACAGATCTTCATGCTAAGCTTCATGGTGATCTCACCTTTGCGAAGCGTGAAATCGCAATAGGGAAACTGGGACCGGATGATCTTCAAACGATTTTCCGTCATCTTCGCCAGATCATGATTCCGGTTGTTGGGCTGAGCTTCGTTGTCGATATCTTCCAGCGATTGTCGGATTATAACAGATGGAATCAACCCATCGATGCCAACCTGGATGCAGTTCCGGAGTCCGTGCGAGAGCGTGTCGTGCATGAGTGGAATGATATCATGAGAGCAGTGCACGATCCTTTTGCCATGATGATTCAGACGATTGATGAGGGACTTCTGCATACATCTTATGTATTCCTGTTGACGAAGCCACCAAAGCGCACGGCTACGGCGAAGGCCTCGGACAATAACCCGACCGAGGGGGGCGAGGACGTGGAAGCAACAGCTCAGGATACCGCCCCTGGCGAGAAAGCGTTCACGGAGCATTTTGAGAAAAAGCTTGGAGAGTTTCGAAACGCAAAGCGTATCGCCCTGCAAACTTGGGCAGAGGAGAAGGGTATCAAACTACCTCCCGACTTCTTTGATCACCCTACCAACCCCGAAATTCTGGAGTCCAACTTTTTGGATAATTCGGCCACGCAGAAAGAGCGTAGTCGACGACAGCTGTATCTGTTCCTCTATGTAAGACTGTCCCTAGTTGAAATTCTCTCCTGTTCAAACTAATTGAAGATTTAGATGGAGCAATTGCTGTACTCGACTGGTCAAACCGTGCTGGACTTTGTTCGCTATGCTGATCATGTTGCCGCCAAAGGAAAATTGTCAAAGAAGAGGCTGGTCATTCCCGGTGGTAAGAGATTGTGGAAATGGGCCAAATCCGTCTTGAGTGCAGAGGACTCCCACGATGATGATAACATGGGTGACATTCATACCCAAAACAACATCCTTCAACTTGGCGAGGCGTATCGGCTTCGCAAAGATCCCGAGCATCTTCCACCTAGTACTATGTTCCAGAAGTTTGGAGACAAAATTCGGATTATCCCCTGGTTCCTCCGCTCTTTCGAGTCGACGTACGGCTTCCGCGTTGCCTGTGCCACTATGACCATTGCAATCGTCGCCTTCTTACATGATACCCAGACCTTCTTTACTCAACAGCGATTGGTATGGGCCATGATCATGGTGAATCTCAGCATGTCCCCGACTTCAGGACAGAGCATTTTCAGCTTCGTGCTCCGAATCTTAGGCACAACGATTGCAATGGTGGCAAGTCTTCTGATCTGGTACATTCCGGACCAAAAGACACCAGGTGTGATCGTGTTCCTGTTTATTTTTGTATCCATGGCATTCTACATCCCCATCAAAATGTTCCGTTTCAGGGTCGTGGGCATTATCAGCATCGTCACAACAACATTGATCATCGGCTACGAACTCCAAGTTCGCAAAGTTGGAGAGGCAGTCGCGACTTCCAACGGACAGCTCTTCTACCCCATCTATCTGCTAGCACCGTATCGACTCGCTACTGTGTCGGGTGGTATTGCTGTCGCGTTCATTTGGACATTCTTCCCCTATCCGATTTCAGAGCACTCAGTACTCCGACAGAGTCTGGGTGCTTCGTTGTATCTCCTGGCCAACTATTATTCCATCATCCATGAGACTATCTCCGGTCGCATGCGTGGTGACGAAGGCGATTACCTTCTCAAGAGTTCTGCGGGTCGGAAACTCGAGAAAGCCCGACACAAGGTGTTCTCGAAGCAGATGCTTATGCTCGCTGGTCTTCGGACGTACTCCGAGTTCCTGCGGTGGGAGGTACCCATTGGTGGTCAGTTCCCTAAGAAGCAGTATGACTCGATCATTCTCTGTGTTGAGAAGTATGTGAACATCATCTGTTACTTTGATTTTTTGGCGCTGACCTGGTCTCTTTCTTCTAGCATTGTGAACTACCTCAGTTTGCTAGGTTATGCGTCTGATACCTTGATGCATCTCGGCGATGGGGATGATGTTACAGATACCGCCTGGATGCTCGATTTCCGACGTCTGGTCGGTACAGCAAAGGTCACCACTCACGAAGTCACATCATTGTTATGTCTCCTGTCTGCTAGTATCACCAACCGACAGCCTCTGCCACCCTACCTTAAGGCTCCCCGGCCTTATAGCTTCACGAAGCGCTTGGAAGCACTTGATAAGGACATCCTGAGCATCAGGCACATCGCCGAGCCGGGTTTCGCTGCATTTGCAGTTTTGCAAATTTCAACGAGGTGTATCGTTGGTGATGTTGACAGACTTCTCCGGTATGTGTCCATGGGATTAACGCTCATCCAAACCTGATTTGCTGACTGCTTCATTCTCTAGACACGTCAAGGAGTTAGTCGGCGAGTTAGACTTCTCCTTCCACGCCGTCAGCACGACCGAGTCAATGGCCCCATCTCGCATGACTTCGCGGGTAGGGTCGAGAGTAGACCTGAGTGAGATGTCAGGATCGAAACCGAATGACCGAGATAAAACTGATTGAATTACCCTTTATTGTGGTGATTGAGAGGCAGATTCAAGTACATATTTTTACCTAGCTTGTACATACTGGCAGTACGTGCACTACGTGCGTTGTTTCATCTTTATCATTACGTCCAGCTTCAAGTACATACATGACCTGCACGAATAACCGCGGCAAATATCGCAATCAATACCCCGCATCCTCCTCCTCCACCTCCATAGATGTATAAAAACAGTCCTACACCCCATTTCGGCCTTCTCCCGGAAAAAAACCACCCAAGACCTACCCTACCCATCACTCCCAAGCAAAAATGACCCAAATCGAGCTCAACCAGTCCCTCTTCGCCGAAGCAAAAGACAAAACAGTCATAATAACCGGCGCAGCACGCGGCATCGGCGCGGCAACAGCAACTCTCTTCAACGCCAAAGGCGCAAACGTCGTCTTAGCAGATCTATCCCAATTCCGCACAGAAGCAGAAGAAGTAATCAGAACTCAACTGGCCCACCCAGACCGAGCGGCCTTTTTTCCTGCTAATATCGTTGACTGGACCGAGTTGACGGAATGTTTCGAGAAGACAATTGCCCGCTTTGGCGGGCTTGATATTGTCGTTGCTAATGCTGGCATTATGGAATCTAGACCTGTTCTAGATTTGGACGCGGTTGATGAGGATGGAAGGCTTCTCGAGAGCGAGGAGGCTGGGAGGGTTATTGATGTTAATTTGAAGGGAACTTTGAATAGTATATCTTGCCCATTTCGCCTTCTGATGCTATTGATTCCAAGCTTATTACAGCCTCCATTTGTGGCTAACAAGATAAATCATCTTTAAAATTATAGCACTTCGACTGGGACTACACTATATGAAAGCACCCACGCCTATAGATACTGCTGCTGAGCCATCACCCCAATCCCGAAAATCAATCCTCCTCGTCGCATCAACATCAAGCTACTTCGGCGGGACAGGAGTAACAGCCTACATTGCCTCCAAACACGGCGTTCTAGGTCTTCTACGCGCATGTCAACCGACGGCACAGAAGTACGGAGTACAGGTCAATGCAATCGCGCCATTCTTTACGCCGACTCATATCACTGCCGGTTTTGCGCAGAGATGGGATGAGGCGGGCTTGGAGAAGAATACTTCTGATCGAGTTGCTGAGGCTATTGCGCTTGTTGCGTTGGATGGGGAGAGGTGGGGGGATTGTGTTATGGTATGATGGAGTTTCGATTATTGAAACATTGCGTGTGGATGTGGGTGCTAATTAATGTACTTTTTAGGTTGCTGGTAGGTATTTGCGGGAGCTTGAAGGCTCAAGGACAAAGTTGTTTCCTAAATGGCTTGGGGAAGATGTTGCTGAGTTTTTGGGTCGGGCTATGCGGTTTTTTGTTAGTATTGGGGGCTATGTCTTGCCTTCGAAGTATTAGTGTGATAGATTTTATCTCGAACAGGAAGATAACTCTAGACTTGAGGGCTGGGAACTAGTTGCATTGACAAGTGGTGGGAAAAGTTAAAGCTGTCTTGATATCAAAGCACTGCATCTACATGTACATCGCAGTTCACATCAAACCTTCTGTGTGTCCCATGCACACCCATGAATCACATGTTATCTTATAATCCAATGATGCCATAAAATTTAAAGTGGAGTGATGTCACGCAGAAGAATTCCTTGCATCATTAATGGAATGTTCGGCGTGGTACATGGTCCTCAGATCCAACAAGGGGCGAGGGAGGCTGGAATGCCACTTCTAGGGCACGTCAATCCCTGTAACCCATCATTCTCAGGAGCTCGGGGTCTTTATTCCCCACAAGAGCAGGGAGCTTAATTCTCCTTCCTGCCAAGCAAGATCGAATCTCTGCCCAATCGCCGCATTGCGCATCCCTTGTTATGCGGAATCCGACCCACCGCGCTCCTTTCCAGGTTTCCGCACTTCTCAAGGGGTAGAGGGGAAGCTTGCCCTTAGTAGTAGCTGCAGCTGCTCTCCTGGCCCCACGTCGGTGTGTGGGTAACTTGTGACTGCTAAGCTGTGCTATGAGTTTCTCGCCGAGATTTCGCTTTTTGATCTAGTTACTGTGAATATCACCGTCTCGAACATACATTATCAAGATATTACTTGAAGCTTGTGCATCAAATGGGACGGCATTCGATAGCGTCTGAAATATTCGACAATGAGTCTAAAATCGACTTTGGGGTGCGGGATAGCGTCCTAACCATCGACGAGGTGACACCCTATCCACCACTGGGGAGTTCGATCCAGTTATTCGAGAGCGAGCCTTCACCCGAAGAACAGGAATGGCACTTTGGCGTGCGGGAATGGCTGGTCTTTGTATGCATCGTCATTCTGTCGATGATGGATTCCTTCAATGCGACTAGCTTGATCCCAGCATTACCAGTATGTCAAAAGCAAACCATGTTCTAACACACCACCAAAGCGGGCTGCTAATAAATGATATCAGGAGCTCGCAAACACATTCGAAAAACCGCTCGCCAGCACACTATGGGTCAACACAGTCTACCTCATCTTCAGCGCAGCAAGCCAACTATACTTCACAATGACGAGCGAAGTCTTCAGCCTCGGCCCAGTCTGGATAATAGCAGTCGTATTCGCAACGATCGGCACAGGAATCTGCTGCGGATCCATGAGTCTCATCGAACTTATAATAGGCCGTATGATACAAGGAATCGGCGGCGGCGGCGCAATGAGTCTCTGCTTCTTGATAATGGCCGAGTCAACGCCCCCATCCATTCATTCCCGGTATTCGTGCTATATCCTGCTAACGCGGATGTGCGGTGCTATTCTGGGTTCTGTTGCCTCCGGTGTGTTTGTTGACAATACCAGCTGGACTTGGGCGTTTTATTTCAATTTCATCTTTTGTGCCCTGGGTTTGTTGGCGATTCCGTTTGCTGTTGACCTGCGCTTGTCGAAGAGTATTCCGCTTCGGAAGTTAAGGATTTTGGATTGGTCCGGTGCTACTATGGCCTTTTTGGGTCCTGGGGCTGTTCTTGTTGGGTTGACTTGGGGTGGGAGTTTGTATCGTTGGTCGGAGTGGCAGACTATTGTGCCGATTGCAATTGGTGCTGCTGTTTTCCTTGCGCTTGTTTTCTATGAGTCTAAGTGGGCTCTTCATCCGCTGTTTGGGAGGAGGGTGTTTCGCTCCAGGATGATGGTTATGACTTATCTCGGTTGCTTTTTGCATGGGTTTATGGTGAGTTTTCATTTCTAGATCCCTGGTTCTGGTTTCGATTTTCTCACACATTGCGGTTTATAGGTCTTTGCTCACTTGCAATTCTTCCCGCTGTACTTCATGGCAACCCACTATATGTCTGCCACGCTGTCGGCCGTGACCTTACTAGCCATGATCGGGCTGGCAATCGCTCCGGCCGCGATTGTTGGCGTGATTCTTGCCAGAGAGTCGAGATGTACGCAGTGGATCATCTCGGGCGGTTGGATTTTGACTATCCTTTCAGGGGCGTGCTCTATTCTTTTGGATAGCACGACGCCAGCGGTGGGATGGATGTTCTTGTTGTTCACAGCAGGCATGGGTCACGGTCTTCTGCTCTCGAGCTATAACGTTAGAGTCCAGAATGTGCCCAAGGATGAAGACCCTTCTCTGACGACTCTGCCAACTACCATCTCCAATTATATGAGGGCCATGGGTATGGCATTTGCCGTTCCTGTCGGGGGTGTTGTGTTGTTGAACATGTTCAGTCATGGGTTGACAGGAATTGGATTGGACCGGAATTTGGTCAATACGGCGAATGGGTATCTGATCTTGATGAACCAGGTCAGGATGTCAAGTGAACATAGAGAAGCCGTCAAACTTGCTTCAGTCGCGGCGTTCCGAGTGGTGTGGGAGGTCCTCACTGGTGTTGCTTTCGTTGGGGGACTTTCGTCTGTTTTCCTGTGGCGGAGGTACCCGTCAGCATAGCCAATATCTAGAATGAAACATGCTGTCATGAAACAATACGAGATGCGCTAACCCGATCGAGTCAAAAGAGTGACAGGTAACAATAAGATGGATTCAGGCTAAACACTAATTTGTAGAGGCATAAAGGTCGTTTCGGCTAAACAAAATACAAGAATCAGGCTGACATTGCTTGTCCAGACTGCCGGCAGCTCACTTCAGCCTCTCGGGAGTAACAAACTCTCTCTGGCCTTTGATCTTCCAACCCGCTAGTCTCTCTTTGCCAAATAGTGATAGCGTTTTCTTTTCAACAAGACTATACTTGGAGGGGTCATTGCGGTCAAAATTGAATGGCTGTTTCAATTGAGCCGGCGGATTAGTGATGACACGGGGATGTCTCAGACTGTTGACAGAAACCGAGTGGACCATCAAAGGGTGAAGAAGAATCACATCGCCGACCTTGCCAGTCATTTGATGGAACTCAGAGCACTGCTTCACAATGTCCGAGTAGAACGACGTCTTCATAGGATTCCCGTCAGGCTGCTGGCCACGTGGGAGCATATAGGGAGTCACACCTTCGGGGTGATTGTACTAAATACGGGGAATTAGAAAAGACGCCAAGTAGGATAGGAGGCTCAACCACATACCAGGTGCTGGGCAATGAACTTGAGCGCATCCGGACAGACCATAGTGCCACCTGCATGATCCTGGATATCGGAGAACAGGGGTATGACCAGCAGAGCCTGCTCAGGCGAATCAAGGAAATGCGTGAAAAAGTCGCCATCCACATGCCACCCCGGCAGATCAGCAGGATTGGGCCATTTTCCCTCGGACTCGGGCGAGCCGAGATTAACGATCAAGGCATCGTTCCAGCTAGCCGATTCGGGTGCCACGCGGTCTTCGCCGCCGAGAAGTTCGCAGATGGCGGCCCATGCCTTGGGGGCAAATGTTTTGACAGCTTCTTCTTTGGTGTCGCCCATCCAAGTCATTTCATTTGCCCAGGTTGACTTGTCTGTTGGTGAATAGCCGAGTCTCGACCACACATCGCCTGCCCATTCGTTTGCTTTGGCTTTTGAGAAGCAGTCTGGTACTCGCACGTACCCAAACCGCATGAAGTGGTCGATCTGCTCTTGCGAGAGTTTGTAGGAATTGGCCATGTTGGGCTTTTGTGGCGAACTGAAGCATGAGCCTATGTTTCTATAAAATGAATGGCGACAATGGAAGTTACTTACTTCGGGAAGGTGGCCCTATATATTATTCTGCCACCCTTCTGACCACCCACAGGCCGTGATTCACGCGTAAATAAGGGCGGTCAGTGTCATCTACGTGTTTACTCTCTTCTTCTTTCGGCATTTTGCTTGAAGCTTAAGATCTATCCCGTCCCTGTGAACTATTCAATGGCGTTGCCAAGAAAGCCCACCGGCTAAATAGCAATGAGCTGTCAGACGAGTGTCTGGAGATGGCGCACCCCGCAAATGAACGGCGCTCCAAGGGCTTCTTGGCACTCCCATTAGCCTCCGGGCTAGGCTGGTTGCTTATTTGGGCACGGAGCGAGTGAGACCCTGAACCAGTTCGGCAGAACGCAAAGGCCAGATATTCAAACCTTGAACAACAACAAACCCATCTTTATATTCAAATCAAATGTATTTCCCCAGAACTACCCCAGGTTGATCGCCTTGTGGGCCTCGGCCCGTCAAACCGGGGAGAGATCAAAGAGGAGGCCTTGCCCTAAGCGAGGCTAAATCTCACGCGACTTTGCTATGGCGTTATTTGCACCAATCATATCCCCGGTCAGATCCTAAGCACAATTAGCCTAGGCCCTAAGACAGTCAAACCGGGGATGATACTATACTCGGAAGTATTCGTGGGCCCTGACAGGCCACTCACCCGGCAAATAGCCATCTCAAATGCCAGCCCTGCAAGAGATCTGTGCCGCATGCTAAATTCCTCGCCTATTTTATTTGATTTTGATTTTCCAACGTCCCTTGACTACTAATCTGGAAGAGCTATGAACCCATGCAAATACAGCCAAGCCCGCCACTTCTCACTAACCGGATAATATCATCGTTAAATATCCTAAGCTGGCAAATTCGAACCGCTTAAAACCTCTGGGATTCCCCTCCCTTGGGCTTCTTATGCATTGTTGTGTCACAAGCTTGGTGGACATTCCAATCCCTATTATCTACCCTGCGCTCGTCTAAGCAGACATCAAATACATCATGCCTATCGCAGTTGGAGCGTCGACGCTCAAGACTGAGCTGAGAGCTGCTCAGGATGAGAAACCTGAGCTGGAGAAGGTCAACTGGTGGCAGGAACCAGGCCTGCGCAGGCTTTATTGCTGGGCAGCGGTGCTGTGTGTTGCCTCTGCGACTACTGGATACGATGGGTAAGTATTCTGGCTTGATGCTCATCTTATAAGGCTGACGAAAATTGCACAGAATGATGCTCAATACCTCCCAGAATATAGATGCTTGGCAGGCCTACTTTCACACTCCGAGTGGCTCCAAGTTGGGATTGATGAATGCAACCTACCAGATCGGTAGTCTTGTCAGTTTCCCATTTGTGTAAGTCACTCTACAATTCTAGGTGCGGGAAAAAACTAACCTTGAAAGTCCTTTTATTGCCGATCGATGGGGCCGTAAACTCCCAATTGTCATGGGATGTGTCTTGATGATTTTCGGTGGCTTGCTCGGTGCATTCTGCAAGAATTACGGCAGTATGTTGACATGTATACTCTGAGTTATATTGTGTGCTAATACTGTTCAGTGTATGTCACTGGTAGATTGGTCCTAGGCTTTGGCAGCAGTCTGGCCCAGATGGCTTCCCCCGTTCTCCTTACCGAGATCTGCCACCCTCAACACCGAGGAATTGTTACAACTATTTACAACTGTCTATGGAACTTGGGTGCATTGGGTAGGGTCTCCCCATTCTAATTCTGGGGACAAATTTTAACGGTGTATAGTCGTGGCATGGCTTGCGTGGGGAACTATGCATATTCCCAACGACTGGTCGTGGCGTTCCTTGACTCTCCTTCAAATTTTCCCAGCCCTGATTCAGATCGCCTTTATCTGGTGTACGTATTTGACTACTTCGACACCGTCCAATTGACTAACCATCATTAGGGGTCCCTGAATCTCCCCGTTGGCTTATCTCCAAAGAGCGCTACGAGGAAGCCTTGGATATACTGTCCTACTACCACGGAAACGGAGACAAGAATAATACCACCGTCCAGTTCGAATATCGGGAGATCAAGGAGACTATCAGTATGGAGATGCAGTACCAAAAGAACAGCAGCTACCTCGACTTTATGCGGACGAAGGGTAACCGTTATCGTCTGGCAATCCTGGTCTCGCTGGGAATTATCTCCCAATATAGTGGCAATGCGTTGTTTAGTAACTATACCAACTTGATCTACAACAGCATGGGTATTACCGAACAGAACAAGAAGATTCCGGTTCGTTTTTTACCCCAGGTTACTGAACTTCATACTGATTTTCTATAGCTCGATGGTGGTAAGACTCTACTCAGTTTGATTGTCGCTGTGGTCAGCGCTTTCTTCGTTGATCGGTTCGGAAGACGGCCTCTTTTCCTGGTCTCCACAGTTGGTGCGTATTGACATCTATTCGTTTACAAAACCAAAGTCAATGCTAACAATCCTTCCAGGCATGGTTCTCATGTTCCTTGCTTGGACCGTTGTATCCTCCGTCTACGAGCGAACCCAAGATGTAAAGAGCGCAGGCTATCCACAAGTCGTCTTCGTCTGGCTCCATGCCGTCGTCTACTCCATCGCCTGGTCAGGTCTGCTTGTTGCGTACTCGCTTGAAATCCTGCCTTATCGCCTGCGCGCCAAGGGTATGATGATCATGAACTTGACTGTGCAGGCTGCTTTAGTTCTTGGAAAGTAAGTAAATTAACTTATCTCCGGTTGATATTGTAACACTGACATTCTTATTTAGCTATACCAACCCCATTGCTTGGGAGGACCTGCCTCACCACTGGAACTTGTCACTCATCTACACTATCTGGATCTTTGTTGAACTCCTCTTTGTTTACTTCTTCTACGTCGAGACTCGGGGCCCTACTCTCGAGGAGCTGGCTAGGATCTTCGATGGTGAAGATGCTGTTGTCGCACATATTGATCTGCATCAGGTTGAGAAGGAGATTCATGTTAGTGAGAAGGAGACGACTACCTATGTGGAACGTGCTTAGTTATCGAGCTATGAGTTAATATTGATGAATGAGAATATACCTGTTTAATTCAGTAATCTGCAGGATCGTTTCAGAGCGCCAATTAACTGTGTGAAGCTTTTTGCATCGCTCGTTGACTCGATGTTGACCTTAGACGCGCCTTCCATCACGCAGTCCCTTCCATCTATACAAATCCAACTTCCTCTCTTCCTCACTTCATATCTCTCATATCTCCGCACACATAGCATTTCTCAACCCACTTCTACATTTTATCTCTCTATACTTGTCATGCATTTTCATATCCTTTCCGTCCTTCTGGGCATCTCATACGTCCTTGCAGCCCCGCTGAATGCGACTGGCCCCAAGACCCTGCCAAACGGACTGCTTACCCCGAGTGCCAGCGAGCTGGAGACTATCGAAGAGAATGCGCATGGTACCCTTCCCAATGGACCTCCACCCCTCGGCATCAGCGAAGGAGGTATTGTCAACCTCAAGATGATCGCAATGAACGCGATGCTCGAGGTTTCTTTCTTTGATGCTTTAATTGAAAACATCACCGAAGAGGTTCATGGATATCGCTTCGCGACTGAAGACGACAAACACTTTATTCTGAGTGGTTTGCGAGTCATTCTAGCTGTATGGACCCTCCCATCCAACATTTGCAAGTGGCAGTGACTGACCTGCCCTTTAGCAAGAGGAGCTCCAAGTCCTGGATTCCAACAATCACCTGGCCCAGTTCGGCATCGAGCCCATGCTTCCCTGCCAGTACTCGATTCCCGTCGACAACTTTGACGCAGCCATTGAGCTTGCCGTCAAGTTCACAGATATGGCTCTAGGAGTCCTGCAAGACGTTGTCGAACGATACGCCTTGAGCAGTGACTTTACCTTGGCACGCCAAATCTCCTCCCTGATCGGTGAGAAGGGCGAGCAACAAGGCTGGTTCCGCATCATGCAGGGCAAGGTTCCCAGCGAACTGCCGTACCCGACCACTGGCGATGTCCACTTCGCCTTTAGTGCGGTTCAGAGCTTCACCGTTCCAGGCAGTTGCCCCAACATTCACACCTTCCCGCTCGAGCCTTTCGAGCCTTTGCACGTCATCCAAACCCCCGGCGCGAGAACTGGGGATGTTATTGTTTCTTTTGTTGACCATCAAAATATCAGTGACAGCTCCCTGTGGGCGACTTATATCAATCAACAGAACCTGCCAATCGTGGAGCCGTTGAAGGTCATCGCTCGGACAGGCAACGAGGTAACGGGGGAGGCTTTGTTTCCCTATGAAGCACATGGAATGAATGGCTTGACCATTGCCGTTGTCACCACAACTGACGGACCGTTTTCAAATTCCTACGAGGTGACCAAGGTGACTCTCGCTGGGCCTGGCCTTTTTGTTATTAACTGATCGGATCATTCTTGGAGACTGCAGTGAAATGCTTGAGGTGGACTTTGACTGAACTGTGCACTTTCCGTTATTATTATGAACTCATGATTGAGCACAACTACATACCATCAGAGACGGGCAAACTCCAGAGACTTATTCTTTTTACCAAACAATCAAATTAGTTACTCGAAACAGAAAAGAAAATAAAACATATAAAGTATTGTAATTAACGATAGACAAAGAATAGAATAGAATAGAATAATACACACAACATATCAATTATATTCCCTTTTCGACCCTCACAGCCCCCTCATCCCCAAATCCCGAGTAGAGTAGCACATAAACCCAATCAACAGGCATACACACCACCCCTCGGAATCAGATCAGACCAAAGTCAATTTCAATCGAAATAAATTTACAGGTTACCCTGTCCAGCATTGGCAGTAACGCTAGAAACAACAGTACCATAAGCAGCAGCAGAAGCAATGTTCTTGCCAGAGAAGTTGCTAAGGAACCCGGTATCAGCCTGGCTGAACGAACCAGAAGATCCAAATCCGTTAACCTGGCACGAACGGCCGAGGTAGGTGCTGCACTTGGCGTTGGTGGTGGTGTCGGGCGAGCTGAACAGCTGGCCGGAGATGGGGGACTCGGCGACGGTGGGAATGTTCTGGAAGACGTTGCCTTCGGCTAGGACGTAGCCGCCGGAGCCGATCTCGAAGGCGTGGCCGGAGTTGGAGTACCAGTAGTTGTTGACCTGTATTTCATATTAGTATTGTTTTGTTTGGTGGTGGGAATTGGTGCTGGCGACGGTGTAACTTACAGCGTGCAGAAGAGTGTTACCCTGGACCTTAGGGGCACGGCCGGAGGTCTTGTAGATGTAGTTACCCTTCATGGTGACGAGATCACTAGAGCCGTCAAGGTAGATACCCCAGTAGTGGTAGCCATCACAGGTGGCGGAGTAGTCGCTGGCACCGTTGATGAAGCTGTTGGAGATGGTTACGCGCTTGGAGGCGTCGGTGCCGAGGACGATGTGCTGGCGACCAATGCGGGCGGTGGTGACGTGGTCAATCCAGACCATGTCGGCGTTGTCGATGGTGATGGCGTCTCCACCCCAGACGTACTTGGGGTTGATGTCGGTGACTGCGACGTTCCTGTGTGTTTGTTAGTTATATGGAGTCGATATTTGGGTGTTCGGAGCTCGCTCACTGGATGATAATGTTGCTGGCACCGCTGACGACACGGAGACCCTTGCCCTTGATGATACCGGCGGAACCGGAGCCCAGCAGGGTCTTGTCGGAGGCAATGGTGATACCGAGGGAACCGGCATTGTCGCTGGAGTTCGGTTAGTCGTGATCTATTTGGATGAGGATGAGATTGGGGGTTCTTACTAGCTCACAGAGACGGAGGGAGCAGACGACTCGTAGTTCGTGCACCAGTTGTCCTTGTTGATAGCAAGCTGGCAAGCAGAAGCAGTGCCCCAGGGAGCGCAACCGGTACCGGTGGTAGTACCCTCAGTGTTGCGGAAGTCGAAAGTCTTGGTGAGGACAATGACACGAGGGGAAGAGTCACCAAGGTACGAGACCAGCTCGGCAGTGGTGCTGGGGTAGACGGGGGTAGCAGAGCCACCACCAGTAACACCCTTGGCGAAACCCTCCGCAGCGCCGGAGACGGAGATAGCAGCAGCCTGGGCTGCGAGAGCTGCGAGGATAGCAGTGAGCTTCATATTGAGGTCTGGCACTGTCGGGGAATTTAATTGGAGGGGATGAAGAAAAAGGCGACAGGCCCGTCGGGCATGGAACTTATATAGTAGGCTGATGCACACTAGGATACCAAGTCTTGCACTTGTTCCAGGCTAGCAAACTTGCATGAAGAAGCTCGAGCTCTCGACCCCCACACCGGTAAATCCCCTGGTTCATTTCTTGTCTGAGAGATAGTGAGGCCTCGTGGACCGGCGAATGGCCCCGAAACCCTAAGGTGTAGTCGATGGGACCATGGGACCACATTTTTGCGGAGAAAGGTCCCATAATGCATCATATAATTCAGGGGAGTCGTCGTGGACGACCCGGAACGGTGGAAGAAATTAAAGAGAGACGGGTTCTAAGTTGTGTGGATGGTGAGACTGATCGCCAATTGGATGTGTCAAACGGTCAAATGGGTAATTTCAGCCACGGTTATATTGTGCAGCGGTAAAAGTAGCAATTTCCAGGAATTAAAGTAGAGTGTTCAAGGCTAGGATGCCGTAAATCAAGCCAGCGTTAGAGGATCAGCGCCGGTGCGTGAGGTTGTTTCACGCTTATGGCTGAAGTCTCCACAACGTAACTGGATGGAGTAAGCTTGCTCCATGACTGGTGTCGGCGGTTTGCTAGGTTCAGCTTGGTCTCCGGGGGGGTTAAATTGGCGTGAGTCCTTGTGAGTTATCTGGTGGAGGTATGTCGTTGGCACTGAGGGGAATGAGCGTTTGGTGAGAGTATTTCCGAGAAGGATTCTCCGTCTTGGCGAAATTCTGGGAGTGTAGATTACCCCTACTCCGTGCACAGTGTCGATCAGGAGGTTCCTGATTTCGCATCAATGGGATCAAGAACTGCGATGATCACGTCCTGTGCCTGCGGGTCGATCCCGGCACCTGATCATGACTGAACCTTGACCATCACCGCCTTATGAGACCCACTGGATGTGTTAAGCAGTAATTTCGGGGAATTGAGGTGGACAGTGTGGACTCATATATTAACTGCTATCAACGGGCAATTTCCCCAATAAGGAAGGATTCCATTCTTCTAGAAGAGCTTCATATGAAAGTCGGATGATTTCCGAAATATCCAAACAAAACCATTAGACTTATTCAAGTCGAATGAATTCATCTATCTATTAATATATTCTATATCACCAATGATGCGTAGTATACAGCATAGACACAAGAAGCCCCACACCGCTATTATAGTCCCATTTATTTACATGATGACAGGCAAGTTGCGCTGGAGGTATCCGCGCCATTCCGGCAAAGAGCGTTGCCACTTAGTGCCAGAAGACTTCTGCAAATCCTCGATAGCACTGGCGTACTTGATCAAGGTCGGCTCGGAGAAAGCAGTGTTCATAATGGCAAGACCGTACGGCATGCCGGAGACATCGCTGGTGCCGGCCGGCACGGTGATAACGGGGTAACCGGCCTGGGCGGCGATCTGGATACTCTGAGCGACATCAGGGGGAACCAGAAGACCGTCCAGAGTACGGTTGCCGTGCTTCAGGGCAGCGTCGATACCCTCCTCGCGGGTGGTGCGCTGGCAGAACTCCAGAGCCTGGAAGTAGGTCTCGTTCATGATACCCTTGCTCTCGAGGGAAGCGATGAGACCGTCCTGACCGGAGCCGAAGGCTGGGTGGATGCCGGGGAGACCACCCTCCGAGCCGTAGTTGTCGGTGTTGTACTGGACCAGGTCCTCGACGGTGCGGACGTTGGTGTTGTTGACCTCGGAGAGGTAGTCGCGCAGGTTGTTGTAGAAGTCCACCTTGATGTAAGAGTACTCGGACTCGTTGGCGAAGCCACGGGTGGAACCGTAGTCCCAGTTCCAGCCGTTAGGCGAAACAATCTGCTTGTAGTGAGGCAGCTCGGTGCCGTTCACGACGGTCGCGCCGGCGGACTTGATCAGTTCGACCAGCTCGAGGAGCTGGGAGATCTGATTAGCGTCGCCGAGAGCCCAGAATGACTCCCAAGGGATACCAAAGACAGCGCCCTTGAGGGCATCCTTCTTGCTCAAGAACTGGGTGTAGCCGCCCTTGGGGGTCAGACCCTTCTGAGCGAGAGTGTAGTTGTCACGAGTGTCAATACCGTAGATGGCATCGAGGGCGTAGACGGCATCACGGACAGTCTTACCAAAGGTACCCACGGTGTCCTGGTGCAGGGACTCGGGGATGACACCGGCGCGAGAGGTCAGACCAACAGTGGGCTTGATGCCAACGATGGCATTTCTCTGAGCGGGGTTGATGACACTGCCATCTGTCTCGGTTCCAAGGGCGATGGGAACCAGGTTGGCTCCGACAGCAACACCGGGGCCAGTGCTGCTACCACCGGGATTGACGGTGAAGTTGTAGGCACTACGGCACTGACCACCGCGGGCACTGAAGCCCTCGGAGTAGTTGTTCGAGCGCATATCAGCCCACTCGCTCAGAGCACCCTTTCCAAGAAGCAAAGCACCAGCCTTGCGGAGGCCGTTGACGACGTAAGAGTCACGGGGAACAACGCTGCCGAGCAGAGCCCAGCTACCAGCAGTGGTCTCCATGCGGTCCTTACTGGCAATATTGTCCTTGACAATGAAGGGGATACCGTGGAGAGGACCACGAACCTTGCCCGTAGCACGCTCGGCATCGAGCTTCTGGGCAATGGAGAAAGCATCCGGGTTCAATTGCAGGATAGCACTGGAATATGGTTAGATATTCCATATTCACAAGGGAGTCCATGTGTAACATACTTCAAATAAGGCTGCGTCTGGTGAATACGATCCAGGTAGCAAGCCAACAGCTCAACGCTGGTGAAAGTACCATTCGTCAGACGCTCCTGGATCTCATCAACCGTAGCCTCCTCCAGCTTGAAGCCGTGGCAACGGCGCATAGGGAAGAGCTTGGCCCCAGGGGCACCCAGACGAGGGAAGTCATAGGTATAGGGGTTGGTCAGGATCTGAGACGCCACCAGGGTATCTGTTTCCTCACGCTGCGTTTGAGGAACAGCAATGACAGAGCCTGCCAAGGCGAGGCCGCTCACCAGAGTCTGGAGTAAAGGTACCATAATGAGGATGATCAAACTCCACTAAAAACCATGTGGAAGTGTTGATCTTGGGGAGTTCGCCGTGATATACTCCAACTGCAACACAAACTGCTGTGGATCCCTGTCATGACTAATCCCCTTCGCCAACTTTCCCTATTTAGGCGTCTTTTCTTCGCGTTTTTTTGGTTCTTCTGTTCCATGGCGTTCTATCCAAATGAAACTATTGATTTTTATCTTCCAAACAGAAGAGTCGGTCCAACCGTGGCGTTTATCCAACCAAGGCCAAGCTTTGTTTTTTCCATTAGCGTCAAGATTGTGCGCGACATGCGAGAATCAATCTATACTAGCGCGACTAATAGCTTCCCACCTGCCTAATCAAGTGAACACCTTGTACCATGAAGAGCCTGCAGACCCACTCCGCAACGTCGGAAACAACTTTTGTTCCGTGAGATCGCACGATCTAAGCCCACTATGTCGCTGCTCATTGGTCAGACTTGGTATGGTTCCGACCACTGCCGCGCTCAACTTCAGCGCTACATGGAATTGTGCAGTTTTCGAAGCTCTATGATGACTATTACCACCGGATATAAGTTATATAGACGCATTATGTATAAGAATCGCGAGATTGTCGCGTTCTGCTAACTTTCTTCCGCAAACCTGGTTCCGCCACTTACGGGACTACGATATCCCCCACTAGACGCATAGAGTTTGAATTGGAAGGCTTTTTCAAGCGATGAGCTTATGGATGCTATCTTCTGTTGCTAACTGGCCTTAGATTTGCGGAAAAGATTTCCATATATTACACTTCTGCTACGAAGTCAAACACATTGAACTCAATGGTAAATGAAGGTTTCTTTTATCTTGGGAGGGAATTTCTGATTTGACCAAAGCCTCGGAAGTTTTAGAACCACACTCCGTAGATTCATATCAGGCTCGGCGTTTAACCGGAAACAGCACTTCTTTGGTTCCTCAGATCGAGTTCACATTATTGAAAACCAGACCCGCTCCCGCGTCCACTTTCCTCAAGCATTCACACTCAATAGATCCTTTCTTTTGTATAGACATTTTTCCATCTTCATCTGAATCCATACGATGCTTCGTTGATGTACATTCTGATAGTGTCACTTGCTTGAATCCTCAGCATGACCATCCCCGCCGATATCCTCGCTGCGTCTGCAGCAGGGAGAATCCCAAGCAATGTCTCGCTGGAATACCTCGCCCAGTCCCGCGATCACTCCGCCATTGTGGGAATCATTTTCATGATCTGTCTCACGGGCCTGTTAATGATCTTACGTCTATACGCCAGAGCCTATATCGTCAAGAAAATCGGTTTGGATGATGCATTGGCCATCTTGACATTTGTGCGTCCTCCACTATTCACCCCAGATCTGCACGCGCCCACATAATGCATGCTACAGTGTTTAGCGCATGCATGGAAAAGCAACTCAGCCCTACAAATGGCCCCAAGATGGAATAAATACTTGATAACCTAACATTTCCCCGATTGCAGGTACTCTATATCCCCATCGTCGTCCTCTCAATCGTCCTCATCAACCTAGGAAGCGGCCGACACATCGAATACATCCAATATGTCCTCTCCATGCCCACAGTGCGCCAAACCGAAGTCCTCGACTTCGTCGCCCACGTCCTCTACACAACAGCCCTTTTCCTATGTCGCCTATCCGGTCTAGCATTTTACTACCGACTCACTGCACGCTCAACAAAACTACACATGAGCATCCTCGTCGCAGCACCCCTCCTCTTCGCCGCCTACCTCCCCCAGCTCTTCCTCCTGATCTTCCACTGCAGACCAGTAACAGGTCTCTGGCCTTACGAATGGCAAACAGAACCTAGGACATACAATTGCCTCAGCTGGGGCTTGGTCTACTCCGTCAATTCAGGTCTCTCCCTCGCATGCGACATCCTCATGTTCGCCATCCCAGCAATCCTCATCAAAGAACTGCACATCTCAATGGAGAAGAAGATCAAACTTTCCATCGTTATGTTCCCGGGTGTCTTGTAAGTCCCATCAACCACCACCATCCCCATCCCAATCCAACTAACAACCCGCAGCGTAATCGTCATATCAGCAGTCCGCGTCTGGCTAGTGGCAATAGGCCAATGGGCCTCAGACGGCAGCTGGGCCTACAACCCAATGCTATGCATCGAGAACGCCGAAATAGCAGGCACATTAATCGCGCTCTCGGTGCCAGCCCTAAAGCCAGTCTTCGGCAACGTCTTCGCCCACCTCACCGAATACACATCCAGCCACACGCGCTCCCGATCCCGGTCGACAAAGCTCCGCAGCCATTCCAAACCGCTTAGTGGTGTTGCGTCTAGTAATCGCGATAATAAGCGGTTGATTAATTGGTCGAAGCTCGGTGGGGATGACTATGAGATGATGCCTAGTGAGGTTTCTGTTGGGACGAGGGATGGGAACCATGGACATGGGGATGGGGCTAGTGCCAGGGGTGTGAATTTGAAGGGGCCTGGTATTCACGTTACTAATGTTGTTAATGTTACTAGGGTTGAGAGTCCTGAGGAGCCTAGGGGGGGTTCTGGGTTGGTTTAACAAACTATATGTAATTTAATTAATTTAAAAGTCTGGTTTCTTTGTTTCTTGGTTCGGGGCTGTATGCTGTTTAGATCTTGTCTGTGGTGTGTCAACTTTGTTGGGATATATGTAGTCTTTTGTCGCTATAAGTTATATCAGGCCACGTCACTGCTTCGGACAGAACAACAGCGAGGCTCCGACATGGATTTAGGATATTTCGTAAGAAGCATTCTTTCAGGGCTTTTCATTCGCAGGGACGTATGTATGGTCTTACCTTATTTTGGAATAGTTGAAACAGCGTCCATTGGCTGATTATCAATCACGCTTGCTTACCAACGTTCAGGACACTTCAACCTAAAGGTATGACGCAAAGCTATCAATTCTCTTTCATTTAATGAAAGCGCAATATATAAAGGCCGAACGACGTATCGAAAACTAATATCTATTCAATATACTACAATTGGCTTGTTGTGGTGGTTGGCTTGAAAAACGATCGTTCTACTGTATCCTTCCCAACATGACTCTCAAGTACCTAGTCACAGGAGCAACCGGTGGCCTTGGCTCACGGGTACTCTCTCACCTTATTGCAAATGTCCCCAGATCAGAAGTTGCAGCAGCATCCTCGAAAGAGGCAAACCGCAAACAATTTGAAGACCGAGGGATCGCCTTTCGGGTGGTCAACTACGAGGACCCTCAAACGCTGGAATCCGCATTCGAAGACGTGGAGAATCTGCTTTTTGTGAGCACCAATACCTTCGACGTCGAGAAACGTCGCAACCAACACCAGAGCTTTGTCGATGCAGCGAAGAAGATGAATGTCAAACATGTGAGTCGATCGATCTCTCGATCAAATAGCCCAACTGATGTTTGTCGCAGGTGTGGTATACATCTCTCGCTTTCGGCGGATACGGTTCGGATTCCAAGGCGAATGTCCAACAAGCCCATCTATTGACAGAGGAAATGATGAGACAGTAAGTCTAGGCCGGACCGTGAGCTCCGTCAGCACCGCTAACACCAGCCAGGGCTGATATCAACTTCACATCCATCCGCGAGGGCTTATACACCGACGCCTTCCCAGTGTTTATGGGGTGGTATCCCAGCACATCAACCATCTACCTCCCATCCGACGGCCCGGTAGCATTCACCCTGCGAGCAGAGTTAGGTGAAGCCACAGCGCGACTGATGATGCGTGGAGGACATGACAGGGAGATCGTACTCCTCACTGCGCAACAAACCATCACGTTCTCTGGCATTGTGGATGTGATCAACGAGACAACCGGGCGACAGGTTCAGTTCAAGCTTGTTTCTCCGGAGGAATTCGTCACGTTAAAAGCAGCAACTGACGAGGGAGGAAAGTCGGAAGGGTTCTTCCAAGCCTTGACGTCTTGGTATGATGCGATTTCGAAGGGGGAGACGAGCACAATCGATCCTCTTATGGCGGACTTGTTAGGACGGGATCCCGTGTCGCCGCGGGATGCCATTCGGGATCTGCTGACGAGGGATCGGGACTATGAGTGGCATCAGAACTATGTCAATCGGGGTTAGTGGTCCAAATGTATATATGAAAGATGAAGCCAATGCCAATGCCAATGGCAATGACATGTGAGGCTGTATGACGATTCCGAGGCAGGGCGGAGTAGCAGTTATCCTGTCGGCAACCAAACCGGGAATGGCCTTGCAGCCTGAGGCAGCAAGCTTGTGGATTTGGGGAATCCAGGATCAATGAGGGAGACAGAAGCAGTTCAGATAATAGAGCAGGCAGTCATCTTCCATCCCATCGCGTCTCCCAGATCAACTGAGACCAACTCCCAGTAGCAGTCGGAAGTGTTGTCGGCAGTGGACAATTCCCTTCGAGGAACGACGCCGTGTCCGCCCGACGCTTGCAATTACCCTAGCTGTGATTGGCGGAAAGTGGATGAGTCAGCAAGTAGCCGACGCTCAAACCCGAGGTTAGTGTAGAGACTCCTTTGGACTTCATTTTGTCTTGATTATTTGGTTTCTGGAAGCTGAGATCCCTAGAGATCCTGTTTGACTACTGGTTACTTGATCATCTCCCCTCTTTCACTTTAATCAACCTCTATTCAGCTCATTGCTGTCCCTCCTCTCCATCTCTTTCTCTCCCAGGTGTTTTTTCACCTTCCGATCGCCCGCCATGGCCTCCCTCCGCACCACCTCGCGCCTCTTCGCGGCGTCACGGCCGATGTTCCGCCCTGCCTTCGCTCGCACCTATGCGACTGTTGAGCCTACTCCCAGCGAGAATCCCAAGATGAAGACCTTCAAGGTCTACCGCTGGAACCCGGACCAGCCCAGCGAGAAGCCCCAGATGCAGTCCTACGACCTCGACCTCAACAAGACCGGACCCATGATGCTCGATGCTCTCATCCGGATAAAGAACGAACTCGACCCTACCCTGACTTTCCGCCGATCTTGCCGTGAGGGTATTTGTGGTTCCTGCGCGATGAACATTGACGGTGTCAACACCCTCGCCTGCTTGTGTATGCACTCCTCACTCGATCAGCGTCCCGTAGCTTCGAACCCGAGCTAATCTCACCTCTGTGTAGGCCGCATTCCCACGGATACCAAGTCCGAGTCTCGCATCTACCCTCTGCCTCACACCTACGTCGTCAAGGACCTTGTCCCTGATCTGACCCACTTCTACAAGCAATACAAGTCTATCAAGCCATATCTCCAGCGCGACACCCCCACCGAAGACGTAAGTCATTTACTCACGCGTATAACCAACCAAAATCTAACATCTGCTAGGGCCTCGAATTCCGTCAAAGCCCCGAGGACCGCAAGAAGCTCGACGGTCTCTACGAATGTATTCTTTGCGCCTGCTGCTCAACCTCCTGCCCATCCTACTGGTGGAACAGCGAGGAGTACCTCGGTCCCGCCATTCTGCTCCAGTCTTTCCGCTGGCTGGCCGATTCCCGTGATGAGAAGACCGCTGAGCGCAAGGCTGCTCTCGACAACAGCATGAGTGTCTACCGTTGCCACACCATTCTCAACTGCACACGGACTTGCCCCAAGGGTCTGAACCCCGGCCGCGCCATTGCCGAGATCAAGAAGATGTTGGCTGTCTAGATTTGGATCTAAAACGGAGTACGGAATTTTCTTTTCTGTCCAATTTGTTTCCAGCTGTTTTTCCTATGTTTCTCTTCCATACTTGTTCTATTTTCCCCCGCTTTTACGGATGTTTTCATAGGTGTAAATTGTGGACCTTTGTTTCTTACAGGAACGCACTGGTAGTCCATTTGGCATTATAGCGCAAAACTTGTATTGTATTCATTCTTTTTGTTGTAAGTCTACTCTATTAGTTTCAGTATAAAATGAATATCTATACCCCATACCCTACAAACAATACTAAGCGAACCCCAGAGCACTTATCCCGGCGGCTATATGTTCTACCCCAAAGCAGTCAACAGCGCATGACTTCACAAGTCGTAATAAGGGAAAACGTGATTACCAATCTGGGCTGTTAGCACAGTTGGTAGTGCGCCCGCTTCGCATCCGCGAGCGTGCGGGAGGTCCTGGTTTCGATTACCAGATAGTCCACATTATTTGTCTTTTTTCGCTCTGGTGTTTTTTTTACCTAAATTGCTTTTTTCGTTATTCTCATTTTATATTGCGCTGCAGCTAATACCAGCCTAGTTCACTCCGACTCCATCCCCAAATTTCTAATTGGACCGCTTCGAATCCTGGCTGGCACGAGGTGGATTGTATATACCATGCATGCTGTACCTCAGCACACATATCACATTGGCTCGGCCGGCATACTAGTAACTATCCATTGTTACCAGGGTCGCGGACAGGTCTATTGTTTTCGCGCCGGTCCTAGCGTGAGATGCGCCTGCAGGGGGTCGAGGTCGGATGATTTGCTCGACGAATGGCCGCGCCGACTATGTATACTTAGTGGGGGGCATGAGCGTTCTCTGCTAAGGTCTTACTATCAGGATTAGGTAGTATTGCATCGATCGTGTGGAGGCTCTATTATCCATTATGAAATATGGATTTAAAAGCAGTATCTTATATTACCCTGCAGGTCCCCTGTGGGTTCTTTTCTTCTTTTCCTTCTTATTTCGTTCATGTCCCTCTCAATTTTTCCTTCCAATAGTGTAATCTGTGCTCTTGAGCCTCACCCGTTCCTGTTGCTTTTTGTATCACCATGATGGATTACACCGGGGTCTTGGCGACATCGATTTTGGGGTTTTTGGCGCTGCGAACTATTTACCATTTGTACTTTCACCCGTTGTCCAAATTCCCAGGTCCGAAGATTGCTGCTGCTACTTTTCTTTATGAGTTCTACTACGATATCATCAAGAGTGGCATGTACATTTGGGAAATCGAGCGCATGCACGAGAAATACGGTAAGTATATAACTTACTTCATGTCGGAAGTATATAACGAGATATCACCCACTAACAGCAACCAGGCCCAATTGTGCGCATCAATCCACGAGAGATACACATCAAAGACCCCTACTACTACGACGAAATCCACGCCGGCAGCGCGCGCAAAAGATCAAAGGACCCAAAATACGCCGTGGCTTTCGGCGCACCCTCTTCCCTAGTAGGAACAATAGGCCACGACCACCACCGCTTCCGTCGCAACATCCTAAGCAACTACTTCTCCAAACGCTCCGTGCAAAGCCTGACCCCGTTAATCCACGAGAAAGTCGACAAACTCATCAGCAACTTCGAAAAAGCCTACAAAGCAGGCACCGTCCTCAGTCTCCATCTGGACTTCGCTGCCCTAACCGCCGATGTCATCACCCACTATTCTTACGGCTGGAGCCACGGCTACCTAGACGATAGCGCCGGCTCGCGCAGCAACGATCTCGCCGACGCTGTTAATGGGTTGATGGTCATGTTTCATATTAACCGGTTCTTCCCGTTTCTGATTACGGCTTTTAGGGCTGCGCCGCCGGCTCTGTTGCGTTGGCTGCAGCCTTGTATGGCTGATTTATTTGATTTGAAGAGTCGATTGCGGAGACAGGCTAGTGAGACTGTGGAGAGACAGCAGGAGAAAAATGGCACAGAGGGGGAGGGGCGGTCGACTATTTTTCATGCGTTAACTAGTTTGGATGTGCCGGCGAATGAAAGGGGCCTTGATCGCTTGGAGGATGAGTCCGCTTTGCTTCTTGGCGCTGGTACTGAGACTACTGCGAGGGCGATTGCTGTTTCGATGTTTTATCTTGCGCGGGATAAGGATCTTCTTGATAAATTGCGTGTTGAGTTGAAGACTGTTCTTGAGACGCCGTTGTCTAGGGCCTCGTGGACAGATTTGGAGAAGTTGCCTTATTTGGTGGGTTTCTATCTTTCCCCTGGGAGCAGTTGTGTTTGGAGAATTGCTGACTTATTATTTTTTTGTTAGACGGGCGTTGTGAACGAAGGTCTTCGTCTTAGCCATGGCATGACACTTCGCCTAGCTCGGGTGTCGCCGACCGAGCCTATGTTCTATAACGACTGGGTAATCCCCGCCGGAGTAAGTAACGTTATACAATACTCTTTCTTCGTTTACAATATACTGACCGTCCAATTTAGACCCCTGTCAGCCAATCAAACTACTTCGTCCACATGGACTCAACCCTCTTCCCAGAGCCCGAAAAATTCGACCCGGAGCGCTGGATCCGCGCCGCAGAGAAAGGCGAATACCTAAATCGATTCATCGTCTCGTTTACAAAGGGGAGCAGACAATGTCTCGGAATGAAGTGAGTTCCAATCCATCCCATCCCTGCCCGCCCCTAGCATGAATTGACTCCACATTCTTGCGGTGTACATGTACTAACAGAAAAAAACAGTCTTGCCTATGCCGAGATTTACCTAGCTCTGGCTCATATTGCGCGTCGTATTGATTTCGCACTTTACGAGACTACCGTTGATAATATTGCGGTTTATCGCGACATGGGTATTGGATGTCCTAAGGTGGGTTTCTTGGGCGTTAGGGCTATTGTGGCGGGAATTGTGGAGGAGTGAGATTGACAGAAAGTATATTGTATTTTTCTGATGTCTATATTTATTTGAGTCACTTTGTTTGTGACCAGGTCTGTGACGCTGCTTTTGTAGTAATTTTACATGTATTCTGGAATTATGAATTATATGCTGGGCGTGTTTAGAATTTTCTTGGTTCACTACTGTACGTAATCCTACGACGTGTTCTTAAGTTACGGTTGGCAGGTGGGCTGATTTAAAACGAGACTGACATGCAGACAGGGGTCTTAGTTTGGAAGTGTCCTTCCTGTTTCGGTGCATACATATATTAGTTTCTATTCGTTGCGGGAATTTAGCATTAAGCACATGCACGCATCAATTTTTTGCGGTTCTAATTTCCAGGGTCTCGGGTTCGCCAATAGTCTCATGCCTAATTGGTAGTCTCATGCCTAATTTGGTTAGTCGTTTATATATGTCGCATGGCTGGATATCTGATGGCATAACTTATGGATTAGCTTGTATTTGCTTTTTTCTTCCTCTTGTTGACGTGTTGTTTATTCTAGTTCTTGCAAACAGTAATTTAAATTGGGTTAATGCAAGCCGAATATATATTCTGGACTATACAATGACAGACACAATATATTTGCTAGGCGTTCACAACCAATGTTTTGCAGAAAGTCTAGCCATATGAATGCATGTTGTACTTCGTTCTCTTGCTTCCGTCATGCGATATATATGTCTCACCAGGTTTCATAAGATTCTTCGGCATTCTCCTTCATCTCCTATCTCGCTTCGCTTGCCATTTAAGAGCGAAGAAGATAGTAATAAAGAGCACAGAAGCCAAGACAGAAAGACCGAGATAGAGCTTCGCACCAATTTTCCAATGCGGTGCCTCAGCAGCGGGGAAGGCAGCGATAGGCAAGAAAGCGCTGAAAAGGTACGAAAAGAGAGTCCCAGTTGCAAAGAGAACCGTTCTCACTTGAGGTTCTTTTTCAAGATGTGCAGCTGCCCAAGCACAGAGAAGCATAGTTGAAACCCTGTCATTGTCAGTAAGAATGATCATGCCAAGTGAATTGGGGTACTCACGCTCCAGCATAATTCATATACCAACCCGCCATGTAAGCACTCTCACTTGCAGGTCGTATGATCAGGATGATTAGTGATGTGATGTTGATCGTCTAACATTTAAATTAGTATGAATTGTTTTATTTTTCTTGGTAAATGCTTACTGAGTGGAGAAGCAAAAATGGCAGCCGAGTACCAAGATAATCACTGAATCCGCTGAACAGGAGCTCGGCAACTAGTTGGATTGCCTGACCCGCAATTGGCAAGTAGTTGAGCATTGCAACCGAGCTATATGCTGATTAGATTTTGTCTTTGATGGAAGAGGTAGTTCTTACTATTTCCGGGTTCCATCGGGGTTTTTCAGGGACTTGAGCCAGAGGTTGAAATAGTTCGAAGGTGTCTGGTTCGTTCCAATAGACCAAGCAACTATTGAGTGTGATCAAAATGATGAAGCTATAATACGAACAGAATGACCGATTGACTTACTTGCAAACAGCCAGATATGCCAGAATCTAAAGGATCGAAGGAAGGTCTTGATGGTAATTCCCACCTGGGGATCGCGGCCAATTCGGCGAATTCGTTCTTGCGCAACCGCTTTGTCATAACTTTAGCGAGTTTGTTCAAAAATTTCGACGTATACAGATGCACATACCGAGATCTCGAGGCCTTAGGTAGAATTTGGCAAGCGGATTCGGACGATCGGGCTAGATAGTCAGCTTGCACCAACAAGTTGCAAGAACTCGGTACTTACAAAGCCAGGTAGAAGAATGAAGGCAATCAAAGCCACAAAGATAGTGCAGACACCCTAAAATATCAAAATGTATTCTAAATTTTGGAGAAAATTGGAAGGCCGCTCACATTAATGATGAATGCCCATCGCCAGCCGGTTCGGCCCAGAACACCCTCAAGATTAGTTGAAAGAGCACCCTGCATCGCGCCAGATAACATAGCTCCGACCGGTTGGGCAATGTTATAGAGACTCATCCGAAGAGCCATTTCATGCGGTAGGTACCATTGACTAAAGCGCAGAGTCAATATGTGCTTCTGTTGAAGTAGAGCAGAGTGCTCACCTAATGATGGTGAAATAGCCTGGCCATGTTGCGCCTTCAAAGAAGCCGATCAGAAAACGAAGACCATAGACCTACACCTGGAATTAGAGAAGGTTCAATGAATGACCTGTTCATATTTACCTGCTTTGCGCTGGTCACCGTAGATAGACAGCAAGTCAACATGCCCCAAATTACCTGGTAAGGCTGTCAGAAAATTCAACCTAGATATAACAGCGTGTCTTTCACTTACCTCGCATGCGGGCAGCCAGATTGATGGACCAATGTGGGATATTATGATGCATGATGGATATAACATAATCATATACCCGATGCTATTCGTGTCAGTGAGAACAGTATAATGAAAAATGGGCAACGTACTTGAAGAAAGTCGTAAAGTAGTTAAGCTCATTTCCATACAGCTTTAGATCTGTCTCCATTCCGGAGACGTAGGCATTGCTCTTCGAGCTAGTCAGATTGATATTTCTTCGAGGGTCACAGATAAACCCACAATATTGGTTTGGTCTAGGTATTTGAAGGCGTAGCCTAGGAAGCCAATCGTTAAGAAGAATAAATCTAGACGCCATACCTATAGAAAAACATCAGTATCGAAGAAATGTTTACTGATTTGAGATATTTGGCCATAATTACTAGAGCTCTCTCTTCTTTTGGGTCAGTTTCGACGACAGAAGAGACCGTGCTGGTAGCATTCTTCGTATTGGAGAGTATCCGTGGGATCATGATGTCGGCTTGGAAAGATTTTACCATATTGAAATGATATTTACGGATTAACTGCCTACTTTTAAACTGGGAAGCAATTAGTGCAATCGCTGGGATGGAATGGCATCATCAGACTAAGAGAAGACGTATTTGTTGCCATTTTGGTCGAGTTGAGTAACGCCGCTAATTGAGCTAAGTTTGTTTTGACACTTTTATAGAGGAAATACAAGGATTCCTCCAGCTGTTATTCTTTGAAGCGTAACAATCATCCGATATTTCGATGCAAACTTGTGCAATAACTCACGATTGTTGATGGAGGAGAGACAGATCACACCATTATAGCTACGATGGCAGTATCATAGATAGCCGATAGCTGAGCGTCTCTCTTTCAATGCAGCAGCAATTTGGCCCCAATATTGTGCCATTCTTATCTTCTTTCATAGCGAGGGAGAGGGGCCGAGTAATGAGTAGCCTACTTCATTTTGACTACCTCTTTGCGATAATTGCTCTCAGCCGAGGTCGGGCCACGCCCGACTGTAGGCAGTGAATATAGAAAATGATAACGCACCGAGGACCCGAAAGACTGTTGTTTGCTTTTTCTCGAAAGCCGATCGCAACCCGAAGTGGTAGTGTCACTGTCAACACCATTAGATGCTTATTACATTCGTACAACTGGCCTACAGTTGAATTGTTTTGGCATATTGTCTCTGCAACATTGGAAAAGAGCTCATAATTTAGATTAAGAAAAAAAACTCCCATAGCATAACGCTTGAGAGCTTTTGATAGAATTAATTCAATACAAGACGTTTGACCTATCAAACATAGGGCTATTAATCGAGGGGCGGGATCATGCTCGATGCAACCCAACTAAACCAGAGTAATGCGCTGGGATAGCGATACTAACTCACGCGATACCAAGAGTATGTGAGTAAAAGAAGGAATAACACCAACCAGCCTTATTTCTGTGCAAAGAAGGCTGGTACAATGTTGGCATCAGGTTTGTGCTGCAAGGGGTGGACAGGGTTGCCAGGGGAATACCTCTCGCGTGCCGGACGCCCCTACACGCTCTTCGTTGGTCCCTGTCAACAATCCTTTGTAAAATTAAAGTGCTTTGATTAGGCTGGAGAGGGCCCCTTGGTCAAAGTCTCTAGAGTCAATCCCGACTGGCAGAGACAGTAGATGAGGAAGTTAACTGCGATCATATTTCTATTGGAAAATTAGATGCAAGTTCTCTGTTTATTGAGACATACCCCACACAATTGGCCTGACACTAAAGCCGGGAGCTTCAAGTGCGCCACCATGTCAACCTTAGTAAATCCGGCATCATGCAGGTACAACTCAAGTTGCGCGCTTTGATTATGTTGCGAAATGATGATCGACAGTTACTTCCTCTTGAACAAGCTCTGTACAACCTCTTAACAAGCTTCCTTGGGCAGGTCCTTGGCTGATCATTCCACAGATCAAACATAACTCAGGACTTGGCTCCGGGTCCCTAAGGCAGCCCTTCCTCCAGCCCTCCCATGCCCATAGGACATAATGCACCTTTCTGCTATGCTACAGTCGTCACCCCACCAGCCCAGCGATGCTGATCCTTATCAATATAGGCGCGAGGCATGGAAGACGCGGCAGATCACAAACCATAATAGACAGATACAGCATGCTATACTTCTCTACATAAAAGGCATTATATCCCTTTGTCCCGGTCGCGCAAGTTTTTCATTTTCTTTGACCCTTTATTCATTCATTCATACGCCTCAAATAGGCCTCTGACCAACTACACATAATGCACTACTCATACATCTCCCTGGCGCTCCTCGCCGTCGGCGCTATCGCGGCTCCCGCTGCCCCTCGCGCTGGCTCCGATGCTTTCGGCGACTTGAGCGAAATGACCTCCGGCTTCCCCTTTGGTCCATCGGGCTCGTCTACCGTTACAGATGAAGATAACGATGAAGGATTTGGCGACTTCGGCAATGGCCTTTCTGGGGCCATGGATGCTTACCAGCAGGCCGAGGCTGCCAAGATGTCCGCCCAAAACCCTAGCAGCCCCCCTAGCCCTACCAACGCTGTGATGGCCACCCCCGACGCGCCCGAGCCTGATGCGCCCGCAGCCGAGCCCATGGCCGATATGCCTCCCAAGCCGGAGGCCCATGAAGCACCAGCCAAGCCGCTGGTGCCAGCCGTTCCGGCCGTTCCTTCTGTCAACGCCGAGCCTAGTCACATTACGCCTACTTACTCTGTCAACGCCGAGCCTAGTCACATTACGCCTACTTACTCTGTTAAGGCCGAATCTACTCACGCCATGAAGGCTGAGCCCACCCACTCTGTCCAAAACTTCCAGGATGCCATGCAATCGCAGGCCACCGCTCCTGCTTCTGTTGTGATTGAGGCTCCTATGGTCTCCAAAGCACCCATGGTTTCTCAGGCTCCCGTGGCTACCCCAACCCCTACCCACGCTCTAATCCATTCCCATGCCAAGAGCAGCTCCGTTGCTGCTTCTTCTTCTTCCAGTGCTACTCCCTCTCCCAGCGCATCTGCTGCTCCTGGTCCTCTTGGCAGCCTTGTCGGTGGTCTTCCCGTTGTTGGAGGTCTTGTTAAGGGTCCCCTTGCTGGCCTTGGTCTCCGCCGTTAAATTCAGTATCGAAGTGATGATATGCTGTGTACGATGTGGGATACCCTTTGTATCAAATAGTTATGTTGGTCACTTCCGCTCTTTTTGTACTTGAATACCTTGGCAATCGGTTGGTGGCATGTCCTTTTCTCCGGGGATCTTTTATATACCAAGAAATTTAATTCATAGAATTCGGTAGCGGAATTTGCTATCTGGATACTTCTTGTCTTTTATGAAAGCCAGATTGTCAAGTTCTCTCAACTCTATCTAATTAGACGGGTATCTCCCCCCAGATCCCAACCGATCAATACACCCCTCAACAGCCTTCTGCATCGCATTCGTCGCCTCCTCAAGCAAAGTAGTCAAAGGTACCTTCCCAGCCATCTCTGACTGCACCCGAACATACTCATTATTCAAGACCTTATTAATATTGATCTTGGACACGCCACAATCAATACACTTCTGGAAGATCTCCTCAGTGAACGGATCAGCCCCATGCAGAACAAGCCTAACCTCACCCCCAACAGCCTGATTAATAGACTGCAACCGTTCATACTCCAACTGAATCCCGCGCGGCCCATACTCGCCATGCACGTTCCCGAAAGCAGGCGCCAACCAATCAATGCCAGTATCGACAAACTCCCGACTCTCCTCAGGAGTCGTCAAAAGACCCTCCAAATCCGCCGTATCCGCAACCCCATCTTCGCCACCCTCAATCCGGCCAGGTTCCGCCTCCGTCGCGATCCCGCGCGCGTGGCAGTACTCCACCAGCTCGCGGGTTAGCGCGAGGTTCTCTGCTTTCTCGTAATGTGACATGTCGACCATGATGCTGTCGAAACCGCCCAGGTCGGCTGCGTACCGGATTATCTCAGGGGTTTGGGCGTGGTCCATGTGCACGGTAACTGGGACGCTGGCTTTGCGGGCTGCTTCGGCGGCGGCGTGTACGAGGATTCCGTCCGCGTAGTGTATTGCCCAGGGGAAGAGGAGAATCATTGCTGCGGAGCGTTTGGCTTCGGCTGCGCGTACTGTTGCTAGGATGCCTTCTACGTTGTAGCAGCACATTGCGGGGATGCCGTAGTGGTTTGTGGCGGCATGGTCGAGGATGCGCAGGGCGCGATTTTCTTTGAGGGACATTGTGTGGTGTGTGAGGGGCTATAGTAGAGGCGAGAGAGAAATATGCACCAATAAATCTAGTCTAATGCTCAGTTGAAGGTTATATAGTCGGGTTGGGGTGAGGTTGGTCGCATGTTGTCCGACCCTCGGAGTTGGGCCGAATTGCCCGCTACGTCACTTGGGATGTGGGGGAAATGTGGGGGAAACACATAGGAGACTCGGAGTGATTCGGATTCTTCGGATGGTTTTTAGTATGATTTTAGGGTTAAATTAGATGCAGTTGATGTAGTTGGGGCTTACATGTCTTTGCATTTCTTTACGCTTACCACGAGTCTAGTTTTAAGAAAGTTGCTGATGTCTGAGACGTTACCTGTGCCTCGGTGAAATTCAGATTAGTTTATCTCGTGTTATTTAATGACTCCCGAGCGTTAAGCCGCGTGTTTTCAGAGTCGTCAGTTCGCAAAACGCGTGCCCTCAATTCGCGTGGAAGCTATAGATCGCAACTCTTAGGGATGAACTATGCATTGTTCTTTAGCTTTTTTATAGATACAGCACTATCCATAATTTTCTTTCAAAAACATGAGTAAGTCACTAATTGCTATGCCTTTATAATTGTGTTCTACCTAGATAAGTATAGTGAAGCATAGTCGTGGCCAGGTGTTCGGTGAACTCTCCGAACCTTGCCAATCATCAGCAACCCTGACATACTCTGACATGGACCCTTAACTTCTCGATTATCCAATCGGCAACACGGAAAGTCGGATAACCCCAGGATATCCAATTTCGGCTCGGTTTAGGCTAAAGCGAAGGGATCTATGCGGTACTCGGACTTCGCCCGAATCATCCCACCTGGGCCCTCATTTCCCCAGACAAGTTCCCCTCACATAAAACCCCCACGCGGACATCTATTTATCTTTAATATTCAGCACATCCACTCTCTGGAGGTTGTAAATATCTTCTGGCTTTGTCTATATACCCACCTTTTTTTCATATACCACCATGTCTAAACCGTCCATTGGCTTCGTCGGCCTAGGAGCCATGGGCTTCGGCATGGCCACCCACCTCGTCAAAGAAGGATACCCAGTCCACGGCTACGATGTGTTCCCCGCATCAGTGGAGCGCTTCAATGCCGCAGGCGGAATCCCAGCATCCTCGCTGCTCGAGTCCGCCCAAGATAAGCAGTTCTATGTTTGTATGGTGGCGTCAGCGCCACAAGCACAGAGCGTGCTTTTCGGCGAGGGTGGTATTGTCAAAGGTAAGCTGAGTACATTTTCACTGGATATTAAAAGGGACAAGTTACTTAAATTCTCCAACTAGCCCTCTCCCCAAACGCAACCCTCCTCCTTTGTTCCACTGTCCCGGCTACCTACGCCCAATCTGTCGCGGCAGAGCTTCAATCCTGCGGCCGCGGCGACATCCTCTTCATTGATGCGCCTGTTTCAGGTGGAGCCAAGCGCGCTGCTGACGGTACACTTTCCATCATGGCCGGCGCATCAGATGCCGCGCTGGAGAGCGGGCGGTTCCTGTTGCAGGCTATGTCCGACTCGAACAAGCTGTACCTTGTGCCTGGTGGGATTGGCGCGGGTAGTAACATGAAGATGGTCCACCAGGTTCTGGCGGGAATCCATATTCTCGGTGCTAGTGAGGCTATGGGATTCGCGGCGCAGTTGGGTCTTGATGCGATCAAGACTGCTGATGCCATTAAGTCTTCTGATTCTTGGACTTGGATGCATGAGAATCGTTTGCAGCGTATGCTGGAGGAGGATTGGCATCCTGGTGCTAGTGCTCTGACGATTATTCTTAAGGACGTGGTAATTACCTCCTGTTCTTTCGGCTTGGGTTGGGTTATGTGCAACCGCTAATTGACATGTTCATTGTTTTTAGGGCATTATCACCACGTCTGCTCGCCAAAGCCATTTCCCGACTCCTCTTTGCTCGGCCGCCGAGCAGGTTTATCTCTCTGCTTTATTGCAGGGATATGGAGCTGTGGATGACTCTTCCATGGTGCGTCAGTACTTCGCGGAGCCAATTATGCAGGTCTCCAGCACTAAGTCCGCTGAGGAAACTGCCGAGGCACTTCGGCTGGTTCTCGATTTGATGGAGGTGACCAATCTGGTTGCAGCAGCCGAAGCTATTGCATTTGCACGCTACCTCAATGTCGATCTCAAGCAGTTCTTTACCCTTGTCAGTGATGCTGCCGGAGCCAGTCGGCAGTTCATGACGAAGGGATTAGAGATGATTGAGGGACGTATTGGAGAGGGCGCTGGGTCCGAGACTATTGACGATGCTATTTCTCGTCTGGAGAAGGCTTCTCAGAAGGCGCGGGACCTTCACTGTCCGTTGAATCTGGGTAATGCTGCTTTGAGTGTGCTGTACATTTCTAAGAGGTCGGGGCTGGGTGCTGAAGGGAGCACTAGTGTGATGAAAACTTTTGGGAACTAATTTACATATACCACTATTTGTTTGCAATTTTGATCAATTTTGTTTCTTTGGATTCAATAATTCACGTATTCTCTTCGGTCTATCCGCAACTGCATGCACTTTTTTCACCTCTTACTTCACCCATTTTCGAGGGTCTCCGGTTGTAGTTGTTTGAAAATGGCGGGTTAATCAGGTAGATTATAGAAAGGTGGGGATGTGAAAAGACTTATGGCCTATGACTCTAGCATGTGTGCGGCATTTCGATTTCTTCATCTGCATTCGTTCTTGCATTACAATGCTGGCATGGCATGGTTGCCTTAGTCCATAGGACTATTTAGTCTGCTGCTCCATAGAAAATTTGTATCCTGAGCTGCTTCAGTCTGTTGCATCTCAAATGAGTTCGCATCAAAATCCACGTCATCTCCAACTTTGCCAGTTTTGAGCAACTCGCTGCCAAGTGGGTTCAAGCCCGCAAAGATGCCTTGAGGATGTTTCGTCTTCATGTGACGAGTCAGCGGCTCCATACCCTCTTCGGAGCAATTGCGGTCCTCCCTAGTCATTGTTTTAGCCTTAATTCTCAAACGTAGTGACAAATGAGAACCAGCTGGTAATGTAGTTGTGACGGATGCTTTCAGAGCAATGCGTTTACAGGAAGCATGTTGAAAGCACATATAATCTTCGTTATTACCGTTTGTTTCGTCATTCTTTACTAATCATAAATCTTTATTCTAGACGCAGTTACCTTTCCCAAAATACACGGTCACTTAGCCAGGCCGAGTGTATCTAATCCATTCTCTTGATCATTTCAAGAGAGGGAGAGTTTCCACAACCTTGTGGTCGAGGGGTTTTGGTCCACGTCACCATTTCCTAAATAGCTACACGTGACGGGTAGGGACTATATCAGCAAGGATGGAGTAGCCCAAGCGTAAATCGCACAAAGAACTCTCACTTCAAACACGTCTACAGTCATGGCCGGTAACACCACTCCCCACCTTGCAGTCCTCATTGACGCGGACAACGCCATGCCATCTAAAACTAAGTCCTTACTTGCAGAGGTCGCAAAATATGGCACAGCTCATGTGAAGCGGGCCTACGGGGATTGGACTAGCACCAACTTGAATGGCTGGAAGGAAGAGCTTCTCATACGGGCGATCCAGCCGATGCAGCAGTTTGCGTACACTCAGGGCAAGAATGCGACTGACTCAGCTATGATCATCGACGCGATGGACCTTCTGTATCAGAAGCACCTTGACGGTTTCTGTCTCGTCTCTAGTGACAGTGACTTTACTAGGTTGGCCGCTCGTATTCGCGAATCTGGACTAACGGTGTACGGATTCGGGGAGCAGAAGACGCCTAAGCCCTTCGTCGCTGCCTGCGACAAATTTATCTATACCGAAAACCTTGTGTACCATGAGGAACTTATGCCACATCCCGATAGGGTTATTGTACCCAAAAACCATGTTCCAGTACGGCAGGTCCGGGCAGATGACGACTTACTAAGTCTGCTACATACGACGGTAGAGACGGTCTCCGATGACGATGGATGGGCTGAGCTCGGTCACATAGGTGCTATTCTCACGAAAAAACACCCTGACTTCGACTCTCGTACCTACGGATACTCTAAGCTCAGCGACCTAATCTCTACCTTGCCTCTGTTTGATGTTACCCGGCAGTCTCCTCGAGGGGGTAAACCTGATGGGATCTACGTGCGCGATAAGCTGCGGAAGGGCAAGAATCGTGCTAACTGATAAACAAAAATGGTCACCGTTCTCGAATGATATGCGTACACAAAGCGGCGTTTCACCACTCTCTTCCAATTCATCACTCCCCCTCCTTCACATCCCCCGTTCGTCTTCCTTGGTACGTTTGGCGTAAGGAAACCTACGTAAGTTGTCGGTCTTTTCTAATCTCACTGATCGTCTGTCCGAGGATGCCACTTTCAATTCATCAAATCTGTTGGGCATACCAAGTCAATATAGCCATTCATTAACTGAATCATGTCATTGAACAGCTTGTTTCCCACCCAAGCTTCTAGTCCTTACATAATGAGCTTGTAGACCAAATTAAATCCATTGGTGATCCAAGCTGGCCAAATACAAATACAATGAAATGGTTCATGACTGAAACATACGTGTTTTGAATTTTACCTTAACTGAAGAGAAATTTCCGAAACGCTACTAAGCGGTTATTGGCCAAATATTCACTTTGATATCTATCTCTAGTCTCTCATCCTTGGCTGCAACATATATTAAGCACAAGACGGTACTGCTTTGGCATAACAAGAATTTGCAGAGTGAATGAGAAATCGGCCGGCCTAAGGTGAGATCCGATGTATCCTTCATCGCAATAGCCCTACTGAGCCACTCAACTTAAGAGGACCAATTCATACTACATGTATATGCCTTACAAAAGCATGGTTCAACTAGATCAAAAAGTAACCAAATCTTATTCTACCTCTGCAATATGATGCAAAAAAGGAACAAGAAATAAAAAATAGGAAAGGGAAAAAGGGAAGGGACAAAAACACAGCAACAACAATATCACTCCTCAAAATCCGGCATCAAAGCAACATCAGAATCCCACATAACCCGTAATGGCTCAAACATGCCCATCTGCCTAGCCTCATCCGCCGATAAAGCGGAAACAACCCCAGAAAACTTATCAGAAAAGCCAGGAAGAAGAAGCGGATCCTTCAGTCCTTTCTGCATAACCGCCTCCTCAGAATGCCCAAACATGTACCCATAGTACAAGTACTGGACCCTCTCCGGAATAGAAAACTGAGCCAGACTACAGCACCTCTTTGCATGCTGAATATCCTTAAGCCCGGTTCCGTCGGCCTCCTCCGTAGAATACGTCTCAACAAACCCATATGCTTCGCCATCTTTGTCTGGCATTGGTCGAGATCCATACATACCCATACTCACAGCTTCCTTTGTGGAAGCTGCCCTCATCGTGCCGTAGTAGACATGAGGAACACACGGTAGGATATAGTAGAATGCATCGATACAGCAGCCGCGAGGATGCTGGGGATCTATTAGGCCAAGCTCGGCAGCTTCCTCCTTAGAGTTTGCCTTAATAATACCATAGTACTTGTCACGCCGCTCGGGGGCAGGTTGGATATTCTCAAGCCCCTTTTTCCTGACTGCCTCTTTGGAAGCTGCATACACTGCATCGCAGCAGCCGCGGACATGCTGGGGGAATTGTAGTCCCATATCTTGCACATCTGCCGCGGAGAGACCTTCCATAAAACCCTCATACGCACCGCCCATGTTGGCGATAGGCGCAAAGGCAAACAGGCCCTGCTTCTCGGCTTCCTGGTCGGAGTCTGCAGAGAAAGGGCTATCGTAGATATGCATGAGGGGGATTTTGGCTTTGGGGCTTATTTTTTCCTTGTCATGGTGGACAGTTTTAGGGCCGAGGACGGGGAAGCTGCAACTAGCAATTGGCTCGGCAAGTTGAGACTCTGTATCCCAGAGGTGAGGATCCTCCTCAATGCCTAGCTCGGCGTTTTGCTCGCGCTTGTCGACCTGGTCCTTCCAGAAAAGTGCCTTATCAAGAAGGCTGGAAATGATAGCTTGCCGGCGGTATCTTTCGTAGTCCTCTTCGATTCTCTTCGCGACTGTTGCCTCAATTCGTGCTGTGTTGCGTTCCAGGTTAGCAATCCACTCGTAGGGAGAACGGTCCTCCAATTCACTGACGGCATCGGCATATTCATCCTCCTCATCGGATGCAATTTCAGAAGTGGCATCAACAAAAGTTAAGTCACTCTCATCGTCAGACTCGGAGGTACCGGGCAGTTCTGTATGCTCAATCTCCACCGGATTATCCGCGGAATCAGTCAGATCAGGGACACAGCTCTCCTCTGGGACAGCGTCAGTGGAAGCACGGGGCTTGATAATACCCGCATCAATAAGAGCAGACCGCCAAGTCAAGTGTTCTTCAAAGTCAGCCTGTATCGCCTCACTGGGAGTCATCTCAAGAACGCCAGGAGAGGTGCCGTAACTGCCCTCACTAGAACTCTCATAGTCAGAGCTATCATAACTAAAACTGAAGTAGTCAGAGGTAGTCAGCGATGAGATGAAAGAGTCGACAAGAGCAGGTGGCAGATCCAAAGAGCTTGCATCTGTTTCTGTACGGTTCTGATGCAACAGTGCTGAGCTCGAGTCGGTAGATTTGCGGCTAGCAAAGGTGTCAGTTTTGTGCACTTGACTGGATGGATCATCCAAGACGTCGTAAAAGGGATCTAGGGGAACACCGCCCTGTTCGTCATCGTCAGTGCTAATAATCGACCCAATATCATCAAGGGTTACCTCTTCAAAATTGAAAACTAGATCGCTCACCATTCGAGCTTCAATCTCAACTAGGGGCGCCTCTATATCCAGGCCATCGACATGCGTTTTGCATGTTTGAGCCTGGTGGTTGCCGTGAGTGATCATATTGGCCCATTCGCGCTCGCACTGTACGCACATGTTAGGCTGTGTAGACTCTGCCATATCGTGAGTGATCTGAATCTCTTTGCAGGAACAACTGTGAGCTGGGTCTGTGAGGCGGATTCGGTTAGTAAATTCCTGGCAGCTGCCCACAGTCCAGTTAGAGATATGACCACAATTGGGGTAGTGGTGGTAGGTGTGATGACACATAGTAGGGGGAGTACCTATTGAAGTATAAGAAGATGCTGTGGAGGAAGGTGAAGATAGTGCATGAGGAATTTGGGGGCACAAGCTTAGGCTTATATGCCTTCGGGCGCGGAATGTACGCCATCGTAAAGCACTTGCAGGGCGAGTTTACAAAGAAGTTTGATGAAGGTTAGAACAAAAAAAACGAGTTGGTAGAATCCCGATGACAGGGTCAAGAGCATTGTTTGGCTGGTTTTCTTTGTCTGTTATTTGTTGTGTTTCATTCAAAGGGAACACTGGTCAGGAACCAAGCCAGCTAGTCTCAAAGACATAGTTGAGACTAAATCCCCCCATAATCCCATTGTCCCGACTCCAAACAAAGAGC